TCAATTGATGTTATTAATTATAACAATAGTCACTTACTAGAGCCGGAGCAATTTTGATATATTTTTAAACTTTAATCTGCCCCAAAAATATAAGTTATGGTCAATCATAAATTGTTCGAATTTCACATTTTATTTAATTGCTTAAAAGAATAATTTGAAGCAGAATAATCGAACTATTTCAATTAAAAAAGTTGCAACGCTCGTTTCTATTTTCGTACCTACCACCAATTTGAAATAGATAAGTAAGTAAATTAATGGGAAACCTGCACCGGCTACATTTGCTCCGCGGCAATTCAGTACATAAATCAAACTCCCGATCCCAACTTCGGACAAGAAACCTACACCGCACCTAACCCCAACACCAAGCTCAAACCCCAAATGGGCCACATCCCCGATGAAATGAAGCCTGGAGCAACCGCCGCCGGAGCATGTGACGTGTCGCCACCGTTGTATATTATGGCAGATTACTTGGTACACAATTATACAGATATCTGAATATTATACAATTATATTTTGAACTTGTACAATATATGAATATAAATAAATTTGTTTGCAATTCAAATGAATTAGATGTTGTGATAGGAAATTGCATAGCCAGATGGGTAGTGTATTTTCTTTAATAACAGAAATAGAGACAATCACATAAACCAATAATAATGATACTCAGCTTGTATATAGCGCACATTGCAATTAAGTATCTAAGCGTTTCCAAAGTTGGATACATGGGCGGCCCTCCCGGGAGCAGGGGGCAACAGTGCCCTCCCCCTTTTCAACCCCCGAAAAGTGCCTCTTTAACTTTGTTAGAAGTGCCCCTGTTTACATAGGAATAGTGCCCCTTTTATTTTGACAAGTGCCCCTATTAATTTGTAAAAGTGCCTCTTCCCCTTTTCAGCTCTTATAAGTGCCCCTTTTATTTGGAAACGTGCCCCTTTTCCTTCGACAAGTTCCCTTCTTCCTTTACAATAAGTGTCCATTTTCCATTCTCATCAGTGCCCTTTTTAATCTCTAGTAAGTGCTTTTTCAGGTACGAGAAGTGCCCCTTTCCTTTGTAATAAGTGCCCCTCCCCCCTTTTAATAACTACCCCCATTTTAACCAGAATAAGCGCACCTTATATTTTCACATGTGCCCCTTTTCCTTTCTAATAAGGGCCCCTTTTCCTAATGATAAGTACCCCTATTTAAAAAAGAGCCTCTTCCCCTTCTCATAAGTGCCCCTTCTTTGCTAAATGTCCCCTTTTTTAGGTACGAGAAGTTACTCATTTTCACTTCAGATAAGTGTCCTCTTTAACCTCCGATAAATGCCCCTTTAAAATCTGATCGGTCCCCATTTTCTTTCAACTAATGTACACTTTCCTTTATTATATGTGCCCCTTTTTCATTCACATAAGTGCCCCTTTTCATATTTGGTCATTGCCCCTTTTCAGGTGCGATAAGTGCCTCTTTTCACCTCTGATAATTTCCCTTTTAACAATTATACGTACCTCTTTTCCTTTCTAATAAGGGACCTATCCCCTTTTCACAAATGCCCCTTGTCACCTCCTATAAATGCCCCTATCAAAATCTGATGGGGGCCCCTTTTCCGTCGAAAAATGCCCATTTCCTATCCTCATGACTGACTCTTTTCATCCCTGGTGAGCGCCTCTTTTTGAGGGTGTAAGAAGTGCCCCATTTTCACCTCTGATAATTACTCTTCGTACTTTGACACATGCTCCTTTCCTTTTCTGATAAGTGTCCCCTTTTCCTCTCATTATTAAACGCGCCCCAAATTTCAATTTCAACGACAAAGAGCAATTTCTCCCAAATCTCACTCGCACGCATCTATAGATGATATACTTATTATACTCAAAGGTCTTTTCAGTCTTTCTTTATGAGAATGTGCTTATAATCCCATCAGGTTTGGGTTTTTTCCTCTTTATAAGATGTAATATTTTGCACTGCGATCTCACAAATATTAAACATTTTCTTTGCTCGCAAATAATTTTCAGACTATTACACCCAACTGCAAAGCATGATGCTTAAGCAATATCTTGTATGGTGTATAAAGTGAAACAAATATTGAAATCATCCCTGATATTGTAATTACAATGTCTAAAGATTGTATATTTCGCTTTGAGATTCGCTTTGTAGGTGCCCCTTTTCCCCAGAAAGTGCCCTTTTTTCTTGGTGCCTTCCCCCCCCCCCGCTTTGGAAGTTGCTCGGCCGCCTCTGCTTGGAGATTATTACCCCGGTTTTAGCTGTGCTGCCATTACAGCGCTTTAGCATTTCACGGAATTAATTCCTGCCGGGTACCCATTTACATCACCTGGGTTGAGTGTGGCAAATGTAGATCAATGTCTTGCTTAAGGACATTAGTGCCGTGGCGGGACTCGGACTGCGGACCCAGTGATTGACATTCCGGTGACATAACCACTCCACCTCGACACCAAATCCAGGAATTATGAAATCATATAGATGCTACAATGAATTAAATAAATTATACTTTGTAGGTAAAATGCAGATCTTGTTTTGTCTTTGGACCAATTTAGTAAATGGTAGGGTGGTGCAAAAAAAAAAGGTTTTCCCGCAAAAACATGGATGGCATACAAAACATGGTTAATGATAATAATAATAATAATAATAATAATATTTAATTGTTATATAGCGCTTAATACAAATGTCTCTAAGCGCTTTACAAATATACTATTACCCCGGTCATTGGATTCAGTGCTTGCCCGCACACACTGTGTGCACAATCTCCACTCCCTGGGGAGCATTCCAGCCGGGCGTTACTTGACGCTCACAAGCTGTTTGACCAACAATGACGGCCGCGTCCTACCGGGTACCCATTTGACACCTTGGTGGAGAGTAGCAAGTGCAGATTAATATCTTGCCAAAGGATATTCGAACCCTCAACCTTCGCATCTCCAGTCAAGCGCCTAAAAAATGTTTTTAGAAAAAAAGTTCGTCTTTTTTATCATTTTTTTGAGGAAGGTTACCATGGTATTGATTGATATTTCGATAAAGAAACAAACAAGATTTTATACAATTATATCTAATTTAGTTGCTCCCTTGATTGGTATCATTCACATATCGCATTTCAAATTATAGGCTTTGGCAATTTGCAAAGTCGGGAAAGTGTCAGAATGAAATATAAGGGAGAAAGAGAGAGAGAGAGAGAGAGAGAGAGAGAGAGAGAGAGAGAAAGAGGGAGAGGCATAGGGAGTAAAGGGTAGGAGGAGGAAGAGGAAGAAAGGGTAGAAAATGAAAAAGTGAGACTGAGAAAAGATTAGCGATCGCATGCTTGTTCCATGATGAGAGAGAGAGAGAGATGGGGTGTCGACGAGTTAACATTCCGCATTTTCACGATTGGATATTAATAATCATTATTTAAAAAGAAGGGAAAGTGGGAGTAAGTTAGTTGCAGAACATTTGAAGAGTCGTCAATGGAAGAAAAAAAGCTTACACGTGGCGCTTTTTCTATTGTCATTTTTTCCAGCAAGAGTCGCGTAGTGTCGCATCAGATAAATAAATATTGGCCTACCATCAAACATGTTCTCTCCCTCTTGAGAAATAGGTTAATGACTCAGATGACCCCTCTCTGTTTAAAAGGATGCTTTTTTAAATAGATGAGATGTTCCTCTCTCCGACAATCAACAAGGTTCCGATATGCATTTACTCCAAGTCTTTGATTTCTTTTTTCTTTTTTCCCTCAATCTCTCCGTCTCTTCCCCAATCCCCTCTCTCTCTCTCTCTCTCTCTCTCTCTCTACTTTGAAGACTTTTGACATGTTCAAATTCTCTTAATTTGGTAAATAGGGATTATCGATTTTATATCATTATTATAATGATTGTAGCCATATAAATTATGACGTTGATGGTGGTGGTTTTGGTGATGTTGGTAGAAACGAGGATGGTGATGGTATTGATGATGATGATGATGATGATAGTAATACGATTTGTATGGGAGACGGGGTTACGGAGCAACTTATAGACCCTATACGGGTATAATCGGCAAAACAAATCATGATTTCATTTGTTTAAATACCTAAAAATGTTATGGTTAGTATGTTGTTACCTTATATTATAGACATACAAACAAATAGAACATCAGTTGAATAAAGTTCACCTTGCGAATTTTATGAAATGTATCGTCATGATAAAGCGATAAGTTTTGCAGGTTTTCTTTGAAAATGCTTTAAAATGTTCGCACGTTTTAGATTATGTACAAAACACATTGAAAATAGAATTTGACCTAAAATCTTGCGGTAGAACAGAACGATGCATGGGCCATTCGTGTAATGTCCAATTCTTTGATGATATAATATTTAGAGAACAAAAACAAAAAGAACCAATCCATATTGCAAATTGGTAATATCACGTCTTTTAAAATAAAGTGTTGAGCTCAAGGATAACACCAAGTCATGCTGACTTCTAATTAATTTTGCTCTCTTTGTAGCCGTTTTTAATTACTTGTTAAACACAGAATTAAACTTCAGAGCATTATTATACGAATTAAAACACAGTTTGCCGTGAAATGATGAAACTTGACCATTTAAATTTGGATTTTAGAATTTTATTTAACAAGTTTTTTTGCGGAGAAATAAGTCCACATGGACACCTGCTCATGCTAAATATGAATAGAAATTCCACCACCTGGTAATATAGCCTATAATCTAGGCGGAGTGCCGAGCTTTTTTCTTTGCTGCTAGACTAACCTTAAGCAGAACGTCTGATACAACGAGACTACGAACCGTGAGCCGCGGCTCACGACTCACGGTTCGTAGTCTCGCCGTATCAGACGTTCTGCTTAGGGTTAGTATAGCAGCAAAGAAAAAAGCTCGGTACTCCGCCTAGATTATAGGCTATCTGGTAATATTGTATCTCCAAACCTGTAAAAATAGTACAGGCGGTTTTAAAAACAAACACATTAAACCTGAAATTCAGGAGAGTTGAACCACCACCTGAAACTATTGAGGACGGGTGCATTATGGTTAGGTACACTTGAAGCCACTCTCTCGTTGCAGTGTCTAGCATCAGTTATTTTTCTCCACATAAGCAGGCTGTCGGCCTCGTTGGTGTGACCGGGGTATCATGCTTTGAGAACGCTGATTTAATATTTGGTGTACGTTCGGTCCTTCAGGTACTGCGTGAGTGGGGAATCATTCTTGAATGACTCGTAGAATTTGACGAGGTTTGGGTAGGGTTCAAAGTAGGTCTTGAGACCGACACTGCTGTCCAGGAAGAAATCTATGAGGTTGAAGATGACCAAATCGGCTATGGTTAACTGTAAAGAAAAAGATTCAAACGACTGTAAGACATGCGGCATTGATATAAAAGTGTTCCAGGTTAATTTTCTAATATTTTCTAATGCTTCAACCCTCGACCTGAAATACTCATGATGCGACCATAAACCTGTATTATATTCCCGTAAAGGCGTGTATAGAACCACGCAAGTTATATATTACTTGTAATTTTGACATTTGCACCAAATTATCTTTGTTACTCTATCATTCTAGTTTTTGGTATTAATTGAGAATGATTCTTCATTTTGGATATTAATAATTTGAATTTAAATTTGAATTTAAGCCTAAACCTGATGTAAAGCCAGATTGTAAACCGAACTCTATAACCAGTTTGATCGTAGGTCTATGACTCTATGTCATTGATAGACCATTTTGAATGGAGGGGTGGACCGTTATTTGTCGACAAGTTGCCCCATATTGCCAACCACCGACGAGCATCCATTTTAATATTAGACACGAGGGCAGGCGCGTACGCTTACCCCCCCCCCAGCTTATTCAGCGGTTGGCTGAGTCGTTGCGATTTTTTTAGGACTCAAAAAAAAAAAAAAAAAAAAAAAAAAATGTCCTCTTACCCCCCCCCCCCCCCGCTTATTCAGCGGCTTGCTGAGTCGTTGCGAAATTTTCGGCCCGATTTCAAAATGTTAACCCCCCCCCCCCTTGAAAAAAATGAGGGCATTAGTTTTTATAGCAATGCTTTTCAGGGGACATTTTTATTTTAATTTTCTTCAAACTGTCATGAAGGAAAGAGAAAGCCCAATAAATCTGAACTCAACCTTCTCTTTTAATTAACTGGCGCTGCTCAGTGGATGCCGGGCCCACGATCAATTGGGCAAAAAGAATTTCCATTTTCGGTTTAACTTAATAAAATTTGAAGAGGACTTTAAAAGATTATCATTATTATTATATTATTATAATTAATTAACTTTGCCAACAGAAAATGAGTTGTTGCGTGGGGTATCCTCCTAGTGCGGCTACTCATTAGGGTCACAATATTTCTCACTTGTCGAACCATCGCTTGTTTGAATATTTCATGCTTTTGATAATATATATGTTTGCAGAAATGAACACTTTATTTCGCGTGCTTACTTCGAATCACCACGTCGACGACTTCGCGTCCGGTCGGCTTACACGACTTTTCGTGAAACGAAAGTTGAAGTTCACGCGACCTTTCGTAGATTTGCCCTAGGGTATTCACAAAGTGTTGGGTAAATTGGACCAGACCATTTGTAGGAGAGAGTGATTTATTCCACATACATTACCCCGACATTATGTCGTGAATAAAGGGTCGGGTAACGCGACCACCCGACCTGACCTGATGACCCGATGATTTGAAGTAAGCCCTTTATGATATCGTGTGACTTACCCGGTTCCCTATAAAGTACTTTCCTCCTGCTTTCTGAAGAGATTCAGAGAAGAAATCGTAGGAAGGCTTCAGAGTACTGTCTCTACACTTGGCAAGGTCAGCTTCCTGATAATATCAATGAAAAAAACATATTCCCATATTTTTGATAATTATTACATCGTCTGTCTATAATATCAACCGGCGGCTAAAGACCGCGGGGTGGTAGCCTATCCGATATGCGTCGGGCTTTCTACCAAGTATATTAATCGTGTTATGGAGACGGGAAAATCGGCGAGGGTATCAGCAATCATCACCGGTGGAAGCGAAAAGTAAATTTTCTTTTATTTACAATGTTTCGTTCGTAGAAAATCTACGAACCCCCTAATGCTCTTTCATTATCAAAGTAGGTAGAAGATGTAAACAGATGTAAGAGAGAAAAAAATATTATTCGATTAAACTGGCGCTCCACAATTTATTATTACCCTAGTGTTTACATGACTATACGGTGCTTTAGCATTTTAAGAAATTTGTTCATGCCAAATACCAATTTACCTCACCTGGGCGGAGTCTAGTATGATATAGATTAATGCCTTGCCCAAAAAACATTATTGCTGCGACTGGGATTCGAACCTGTACCTCATACCTTGTGGTTCACAGTCCGGAGAATTTTCCACTAGACCGCAACACCTCTGCATACTATATGTAACAGACTTAAAGGTTTATATTCATAATTATTCTTACTCTTTGAGTAGCATCGGGTGTCTCGAAGGCTGGTGCGACTGCAATCTCAATGTCAGCCACAATCCCAAGGATTTCATCAATTCGGGCACATTCCTCGTTGTTCTTCCCGTAGTAATCTACAAAAAAAAAAACGTTTGCGATGATACAGTAGGATGATATAAACCTTATGAAATTATTGTGTGTGTTCCAACACAATCTCGCTATTGAGTGTATGTATAAAGTGTGAGTCAAAAAAAAGTTTACATCTAGAAAATTGCTAATCATTTTTAAAATCACCTATAAACAGTAAATTATTATACATTTTATGAGAGAGTTATTTATCCTAAATCATTTGGTATCATTTGTGTGTGGTATTTGAATAATTCTGCAAATCAAAATACAATTTACTTACCACCTGGAAATTGACGCGCGATAAAGCGGTATATAGCTCTGCTCTGAGTCAGAAGCTTGCCGTCTACATCCAGTACCGGGAGCTGACCGAGTGGAAACCCTGGAGAAATAAAAATATTTAAATATCATTTTAACCCGCTGACTACCGAATTGTCATGTTCTCCATAGATTAGTCCAGAAAACATCCGGTTCCAGTAATCAATGGTGAAGATGATTTGGGAATGAAAATGCGGTTGTATACGATACTTTCTCATACGACAGCGCTTCCTGGATCGAACCGATTTCGTTGGTTGATTGGTTGATTTCCTTCTAAAAACATACATAGAGCCTACCTACATACAAGTCACCCTCACATCCACGCGTACATCCACACAGGCACGCACGCACGTACATGCGCGCACACGCACACCCACACAAACACATACACGCACGCGCGCACACACCCTCACCGTTTCACGCGCCCCTACATAATTATGAACACGCGCGTACTAATCCATTATCAAAAAAACGACTAATTGAATGCTCTATTAAGCGCCATTAACGCTATCATGGTAATGACTCTGTTCTTCCTAGAGGTCTAGAATTCTCAACTTCAACGCTTAATTAACCAGAGAGACTACTCCATAGGCTACCCCCTAAACCTAATCTAAACCCTTGTTGCAACCTTTACCCTAATTAAGCTTAACGTATTGATTATCTATATTACCGCTACAAAAAAACTCGGAGCGATTGTCGCCCGTGCAAGCTGTTGGATGAATAACATGGCGGTTGAGGAGAGAGAAAGAGAGAGTCCAGGAGTGAGAGAGAAAGAGAGCGCTAGAGAGAGAGTAAGAGTGAGAGAGAGAGAGAGAGAGAGAGTAAATGAGAGAGCTATTCAACTGATGTTGAAACGTAAGAAAGAGAGAGAGAGAGAGAGAGAGAGAGAGTGAGAGCTAATCAACAGCGTATATAGAGAAAAAGGAGAAAGATAGAGAGAAAGATAGAGAGAAGGATTGAAAAGGGAAAACAGTGGAAAATGGAGAATCAGTACGAAAAGATGGGGCTAGAAAAACATTCGGGAGATAAAGGACGACAAAAACTGAACAGTGAAAGGGGTAAAGAAATTCAATCAATGAACGCTGCAAGGCCTACGGTATTCCTTAGTTCCAAGTTATAATTCTCAGCTATATTCGTTACGAGTTATATCACTGTTCAGGCGCGTACGCATGATTTTTTCAAGGGGGGGGGGGGGGGTTTAACATTTATAAATCGGGCCAAAAATTTCGCAACGACTCAGCCAGCCGCTGAATAAGCGGGGGGGGGGGGGGGGGGGGGGGGGGGGGGGGGGGGGGGGGGGGAGGGGGGGGGGGGGGGGGGGGGGGGGGGTAAGAGGTCACTTTTTTTTTTCTTGTCCCAAAAAAAATCGCAACGACTCAGCCGACCGGGGGGGGGGGGGTAAGGTCAGCTTTTTTAGGTCAACCATGGGAATTTTTTTTTTTATTTATTTTTTTATTTAAAAAAAAAAAAAAAAATCCAAAGGGGGGGGGGGGGGGGTTTAGAGAAATTTAGGGGGGGTTTGCACACAAAAAAATACCAAAGGGGGTGGGGGTTAACCCCCCAACCCCCCCCCCCCCCCCCCCCCCCCCCCCTGTGTCCGCGCCTGTCACTGTTGTATTAAATTATGAAACATACAGATGCGGTGAAACAGCATTTTCGCTGACACAGAATGCCTATACATGCGCATGACTGTATTCAGTCTAAGGAACAGACACAAGGTACGTTGTGCATGCATCCAGATGAGTTTCCTTTGGTAGCTTGGCTGTGGATCACATTTTAGCCAGGTATACATATTCTATAATATGCACCTGTGAGAAAATGAATGTGGGCAAAAACACACACATTGTATACAAAGCTGGAAGCATCGAGTAAAGCTATATAGAACCCAGGACCTCTCGTATACCTTTATACAACAGTGTACTTCCCTTTTACAGATCAATACACTTTAGATGAATGATATTAACATGTACGTAATAGAAATTAATGATTATACTTCTCACTTTTCCTGTCTCCTTTTATCTTCGGCCATTCCTCTCCCTCGAAGTCATAGCGAATATCTTCATATTTTTGTCCCACCAGGTGAAACAGCATCCTGGCAGGTTCTCCTTTGGCACGTGCATCGAAGTATGTGAGCTTGTAGTTAGGCATCGTCAAAGATGATAATTAATTCACACAATAAGATGAAATCGAAAACGATGATTGAACGACGTCAATGATACCCAAGCTAGCCTGTGCGTAGTGCTCAAGTGAATGCAAACGGCGACGAATGTACTGCATGCGTTATCGCGCTGCTCAAACCTAACCCGACACATACAACGACTAAAACGTGCATGCCTCAAAATACCATTCGATTTCCCATGTCTGTGTGTATCCATGGAGTACTAGCCTACTCCATGGTGTATCTTTAAATTTTCATTCCTCGCCAGTTGAAAGGTATGGGCAAATATAGAAGAGAAAGAGAGAGAGAGAGAGAGAAAGAGAGAGAGTGTGTGTGTGTGTGTGTGTGAGAGAGAGAGAGAGAGAGAGAGAGAAGTACGCTGGACAAACTGTAATTCATAATAGAGATTAGAGAAAGAGATGCGCAGAGGGAATGATTGAGAAGGAGAAAGAGGACGAAGACGTGAAAAGAGTGAGGGAAGGAGGGAGACAAAGAAAAGGCAGAGAAAGAGAAAAAGATAGATAAAAGAAATGGATTGAGGGAAACCGAGAGAGGGAGAGGGTGAAAATATGTTTTCGTAAAGGTATGGGCAAATATAGAAGAGAAAGAGAGAGAGAGAGAGAGAGAGAGAGAGATTGAAAAAGAGAGATAGAGATAAAGAGAGTGAGAGAGTGAGATAGAAAAAAAAAAAAATATATATATATATATATATATATATATATATATAGGAAAGAGAGAGAGAGAGAGAGGGGGACGAGAGAGAAATGCGAGAGAGTGAGAGAGAGAGAGAGAGAGAGAGAGAGAGAAGTGAGAGGGAGAGAGAGAGAGGGGGGGGGGGGGGGGGGTGCCGGACAAAATAATATTTTGAAATTTGAAATAATATGAAATCTATAATAGAGATTAGAAAAAAGAGAGATGCAAAGAGGAAAGGACTGAGAAGGAGGCGAAGACGTAATAAGAGATAAGGAGGAAGAAGAGAACGAAAGGGAGAGGCAGAGAATAAGAGAGATGAAAGACATAGATTGAAAAATACCGAGAGAGAGGATGAAAACGTGTTTATGTTCTCCGCTATTCTCGTCGATCCGGTTTCCCGAACTTAGATTAACCTAGATTCCGAGGTTCTCCATCCGTCTTTTAGAAAATGAGAAGGAGAGCAGGAGAGGAAATAGGAAGAAGGGGGAAATCACTACATACTTATTCGGACAGCTAAACTCACGAGAATTTCTGTCATTGGTTTCATAGGTTGCCAAATATACTTATGATATAGCTAGACAGTTTAGCTAACCATAGAAGCAAAAGTAACTGTCTGAATTGTTGAGTGTGTTTCCTTTATCTACTCACATTTTTTAAAAATTTAAATAAGTATACACTGTCCTTGTTCATATAGGATATGATTATAACTCCTATAATGTTTGTGTTGCTTATAGTATGTTAAATCCATGATAATCATCTTGCACCTCCATATAATAAATGACATTAAGTATCATCGGCATGAATTATATTAGTAATAATAGTCTTAAGCATATTATTATTCACTTGGATCAGTGCACAGATTGAATGTAGATGAATGACCGATATCACACAACACGTTGTACAGAAGAGACAGGCAGAAAAACGCGTATGGAGGACATTATGAGTATACTGCGTGATGGCGCCTCGGTGTCATATCACGTGGTATTATCTTGATGTTGAGCTTATGTTGAGCTGGATTCCAAAATTTTACTAAGTATTATATAGATGTAGGCCCTAATTCAGCAGCTAATATTGATTCAGGTGGTATGAACTACAATAATTCCTTGAATTTCCCATGTGAAAATTCCTACTTATTTCTTACTCTGACCAATCATTAAGAAATTATTAATATAGTTCAACACCTTATTTCTACCAAATCTAGTTCCATGAAAGTACATGTGTTCACTTATTGAAACAAATACTCTTTCATATCGTAACCCTCTCTGAATTTTTTATTGAACTTATCACTTTTAACGGGTGTTTGCCGAAATTCTGTTAAAATCGCAAAAGTAATTTTTATTTATAAACAGGATGATTTGTCAGTAATAAGTAATTATAGACGAATATCAATAATACCAAGTCCAATGTAAAATAAATTTCGTTTATTTAAAAAAGACTAACGTACATGGTATAAGGAATTGTAATATTTAGATTGTAGTCTTGTCTGTCATTGAGAAGAAAAAAATACGGTTACATTTTTGAGAGTCACTATTGACTCCCATTAAAATGTTAATAAGCATATACGCAATTTACATACGTCAATATCAAGGAATATTGACTACTGTATAAGTTTTTGAAAAATATTCTGAAAGATTTATGAATATATCATATAAGTCCCCAAAGTCATCACATGTGTTATATTGTATTACTGTATAGGGCAATTGTAGTATAACAAGAATGAGTGCATTATTTTTGCTTCAATAGAGAGCGATTCGCATGAATAATAACTTAAATTATTTATCACACACCCAACCTTTATTTCATCGTTTAAAAAACATTAAAAATACAAGATATTCACATTTTTTTAGATAGGCATTATATGTTTAAGTATTCTCATAATCAACTCCCATCCCTATATCACGACATTTACATTTAAACTCAAACATTCACAGATATCCCACCCGTCATTCAGTCAGCATGGACTAGACGTTTAAAATGTCTTACAAAATTCAATAAGGCATTGTTCATTTCTCTTTTCTTTTAAAGCATCTCTTATAAAACTCTTATATATAAAAATTTCAACATAATTAATTACCACATGCAGTAGGCAATTATTAATATTTCTAATGGTGGTCACTTTGCGAGTCTTTTTTGCTGTTTCGTATTCTATTTCGTATTCTTTGTTATCTTTATTTAAATGCTTACATTTCTTTCTAATTGTTACTTCTTTCAACATAGTTTTACTTTGGTAACACCGCCAAATCGGCTCCACAACGACTAAAAACCCAGCTGATATGTTCAATAACGGTTGTCGGTCTGGGCATCGTTTCAATTAACTGTCGTAAGTGCAAGTTCACCGCCATCCAATTGATTCACATGTTTTAAATACATTGTCGGTGAACTTGTACTTATAACGGTCTCGTGAAACGCCGTCCAGGTGTCGGCCTCGTTGGTGTGACCGGGGTATCGTGCTTTCAGAAAGTTGATTTAATATTTGGTGTACTGTCGGTCCTTCAGGTACTGCGTGAGTGGGGAATCATTCTTGATTGACTCGTAGAATTTAACGAGGGTCGGGTAGGGTTCAAAGTAGGTCTTGAGACCGACACTGCTGTCCAGGAAGAAATCTATTATGTTGAAGATGACCACATCGGCCAGGGTTAACTGTGAAGAAAAAAGATTCAAACGATTGTAAGACATGCGGTAGTGAAATTAAAGTGCTCCAGTTTCAATTTCTAATCTAATAATACTGGCTTTGATTCTTTACTCAACATACTCAAGATACGACCATAAACTTGTATTATATTCCCGTAAAGCATGTACAAAACCACGTAAATTATCTATTACTTGTTTATTTGGTGTTTGTAACCAATTATCTTTGTTACTCTATAATTTTTATTTATTTTTCATTAATTGAGAATGATTCTACATTGTGGTTAATTAATAATATTAATTTTAATATGAATTTAAGTCTAAACCTGATGTAAAGCCAGATTGAATCGTAGGTCTATGACTCTATGTCTTTGATTAACTATTTTGAATGGAGGGGTGGACCGTTATTTGTCGACAATTTTGTCCCATTTATCCAACCACCGGCGAGCATCCATTTGAATATTATTATGAGGGCATTTGTTTTAGAGCCATGCTCTTAAGTGGACATTTCTTTTATGATTTTCTTCCAAACTGACAGAAAGGATGGAGAAACCCCAACAAATTTGAACATGACCTCTTTTTTCAATTCCCATCAAACTTTGTGAACAGAAAATGAGTTGTTGCGTTGGGCTACTTCCTAGCGCTTCTACCCATCAGGGTCACAATCTTTAGTTTGAATAATTTTGGCTTTGATAATGTATAAAATGTTTGCAGGATTGTTCTTAACGTATTGAGCACTTTATTTCGTGTGCTTACTTCGAATCACCGCGTCATCGCGTCCTGTCGGATGGTCGCGTTACACGACTTTTCGTGTAACGAAAACTGAGGATCACGCGTCCTTTCGTAGATTTACCGTAGGGTATTCACAAAGTGTCGGGTAAATTGGACCAGACCATGTGTATTTCGTGAATAAAGGGTCGGGTAATGCGACCACCCGACCCGACGCGATGACCCGATGATTCGAGCTAAGCCCTTGACTTACCCGGTTCCCTATAAAGTACTTTCCTTCTCCTTTCTTTAGAGATTCAGAGATGAAATCCCAGGAAGGCTTCATAGTACCGTCTCTGCACTTCACATGTTCAGCTTCCTGACAATACCAATAAAAAATAATTCACGTATTTATTATTATTATTTAACATCGTCTATCTTTAACAGGGATCTCAAACTTTTTTCCTTGACGGTCCTGATGTGATTTCCTTGAATGCTTACAGGTCCGAAACAATGGTCAAATCTAGTTTGATCTAGTCTGATCTAATGGGAATTGTTACAGTTTAACCCTGAAAAGGCCGGGTTAATTTGGTACTCGCTCATCAGAGGGGACAGGGAGAGGGGTGAGCTAGGTTACCCCCCCCCCTTGGAATCTCGCCCATGGAATGACAAACAATTCTAATATAGGATTTTCCGGCCAAATTCGCGTGTTTGTCATTCGAATTCATTTGCTTTGCATTTAAGTTAGCGCAGATCGGCTTTGTCATACCAATTATCATTCAATTTTTCAGTTTTTGTATTTAATTTAGGATTTCGGTCGAAGGGTTTCATAGATCTGTCATTCAATTTAGTAACTGCTCAACTAGCATTCAAATTAATATTCACTTGTCGAAGCGTAATTTTTATCATTCAAATTAACACCTGTCATTCGTATTCGTAATATTTTTATTCAAGTTAGGAATGATAGGGGGGAGAATTGCAACAAACTTTTATAGTTTTTAAATAATGCAGTTAAAATGCATGATTTGCCATTGGGGTCTAAGCTGTTATTCCATTTATTTATTTTCAGGACAATGCAGATGGGTGTAGTCAGACATAAAGTAAAGAAGGGGCGAAATCAAGGGATATGGCATTTCTGCACAGACATGTTCATATACCCGGGAAAGGTGGGGGTACCCTCAATCGCCCCGTTTTACTACAGACTCGGAATTTTACAAAAGTAATTCACATCGTGTCTTATACCCATCACACCCCTCTGTTTTTCTTAAAGAGTTTCATAGTTAACTTGCCCGCCAGCAGATCGATGGCTAAAGACATGGCTAAGTAATGAATCATGTTCAAATTGTTGACTCTAGTCGCTACCCCAGTCACAATATTGTACCCTTCTGCCATAATGAAATTATGATGAAATTATGATAAATTTATGATGAAACATAAGACAACCAACTTCCTTACATGAACATTTACAAATATACTGAGACCATCAGGTCCGTAGATGAAAGTCGTTTTTTCTTCTCAATCAAACTTAAATGCTGATGGAAGTATAAGTGTATAAATGCAAGAAAATGAAATATGATGAAATATACATCATTAGTGAAAAAACAATCTTGAAAGAAAAAGAATGAGCTATAAAAAGTGTGTAATAAACGAGAAATGTATATTGACCATCAATTTAAGTGCACAAAGTGCTAATTTGAATGCTACAAATGAATTAGAATGCCAAAGGTACACCGTCGCGTTGTCAGAAAATCGTGTTGCGCCAAATCGAATGACCAAATAGCGAAAGAAGCACATTGTTCATTAATTTGAATGAAACATACGTAGATTCTATAACGAAAATTCCATAGTTTTGAAAACTAGAAAAGGGAATATAAACCCGAAATATACCTGACTGCACTAAAACCGTCGAATTTGAACGCAAGACAAATTAATTTGAATGACAAATTCGCGAATTTGGCCGGGAAATCCTATATTTGGAATATTGGTAGAGTAGTTCATAACAAGAATCTGTATCTCAAATGTTTTATGAATGAATACTAATCAACAGTAATATTCACATATCCGCGAAGTAACAACTCTGCATTGTTACAGTAGACCTACATATTTTTTTTATGGGGAAATGTACATTTTGGCCGCGCGAAGTGCCCATTGCACAATCTGGTCGATGAATTTTGTATCAAAAGATAGGGAGTCGGGTGGATTCCGCCCGGCCCTTTAAGGGTTTGAAGAAAATGAGAGAGCCTCCCGGCGGTCCGGATTAACATGCCTTGCGGTCCTCACTTTGAGCAGCCATGATCAACCGGTGGCGATAGACCCTGGGTTTGGGGCGGGGGGGGGGGGGGGGTAGGGGTTGTCACATTAAGCACTGTCCATAATTAGATAACATCTCTTCCTGAAAAAGACCCTAAACGAGGATCGAAGGCTAGATTAGTTTTTATACCATAATCATAGGGGATCCTCCTTCTCACATCTCCGACTTTTAGATTCTTAAAGACCCTATCCGGTGAAAATAAAACTTTATAAATATATGAAAAAAACAATTTAATAGAAAGCTGAAAGGACGTACATGTAGTATACAAATATAAAAACGATTACAAAATATTCCCCTTTCACTATTGCACAAAAGCAAATTAAAACCCCATTTCCTTAAAACCTCCAAATTTCAGATCAACAGGGGTCAAATCTGCCGCAGTTACGGTGACGACATAACATGTGGACCCGGTGGGCTCGCCCATGTAGCTGAGGCGATGAGCTTGACACTCCACAATTGTTACGCCGGTTTTAGCATGTCTGCTACTATATGGCGCTTTAGCATTTTCAGGAATTAATTAATATGCCATGTACCCATATACCCCACCTTGGTGGAGTGTGGCATATACAGATTAATGCCTTGCCAAAAGACATTAGTGCTGAGACAGGGATTCGAACCCGTACCTCATCCCTAGTGGTTCAGTCCGGAGTCCGGAGAATTATCCACTGAACCACAACACCTCTGCATAATATATGCAACATACAAAGACATGACGGTTTATAATTATTTATAATAATTCTTACTCTTTTAGCAGCATCGGTTGACTCAAAGGCTGGTGTGATTGCAATCTCGATGTCAGCCACAATCCCAAGAATTTCATCGATTCGGGAACTTTCCACATTGTTCTTCCCATAGTAATCTACAACAAAAACAATCGCGATAATACAGTTTTATGATATAATTTGTGTGTTCTAACACAATCTTGCTTTTGAAGACTATAAGTAGGCCTACATACTGTAGTTATAGTCCTCCTTTAGGATAGTTATAACCTGTAGGGGATGACGTCATCATCATTAAAAACGTGAAAGGTTCAAGTTTATTTATTTCCACTTTATCGAAGATAACATAATTGAACATAATGTACATGGTAATATATAGTTATAACAAAAGATACAATCATAAGTATGATAAATACATTGCAAAAAGCTAAATAGAGTGGGGGATCTACTAGAAGGCAAAGCTTGTATTATGTAGGTCCCAGTTAATAGGTTTGTATATAAATCAGGGTATCTGAATAAACATAAGATATTTATAAAAGCATTTGAATACTTCTGCTAATCAAAATACAATTGACTTACCACCGGGAAATTGACGCGCGATATAGCGGTATATAGCTCTGCTCTGAGTCAGAAGCTTGCCGTCTACATCCAGTACTGGGAGCTGACCGAGTGGAAACCCTGGAGAAATATAAATATTTTAAATATCATTTTAACCCGCTGACTACCGAATGATCATGTTCTTGCACGCACGCACGCAAGCACACGCACAACCACACACCCTCACGCACATCTAACAAGTTATGAACACACACGTACTAATCAGTAATAAAAAAGACGACTGGATTGCTCTACTTACAGTAATTAATATAACCATAATAATGACTGTGTTCTTTCTCGAGGTCCCGAATCCTTAACTTAATCTATGGACCAGAGAGACTACTCCATACTAAGCTACCTCTAAACCTAATCTAAAACCATTTCGCAACCATAATCCTAACCAGTGGCGTACGCAGGATTTTTCAAGGAGGGATGTTTGAAAATTTGGAAATCGCGCCGACCGATATTTCGCTCAGTGAGGGGGGGGGGGGGGGGGGGGGGGGTAAGGAGTATTCATTTTGTCTTAAAAAAAGACAAGAAGGGGGTTAACCGTGGAACAGTTAAGGGGTTAAGAAATGTAATCAATGTACGAAATTATATAACATGACCTACGATAATCTCTATGTGAAGTTACCCTTTACTGATTTGTTTAACAAGTATATAACATGCTCTGGTGCACTTTAATTGTCAACTTTATTCGTTACGAGTTATAGCATATCAGACAAACACGGTGACATAGCGTTTTTGCTGACACAAATTGCTTATACATGGACGTGTATACAGTCCAAGGATTAACGAACACAAGATACGTGGTACACAAGCATCAAAATGAGTAACTGTTTCCCTTGGTAGCTTGGTTTGGGGTCACAGTATATAGCCAGGTACATATTCCATTTGCACCTGCAAACGAAAAAATGAATGTGGGCAAAAAATACATTGCCTAAGGATGTAAGCACCGAGCAAAGATCGAATCGGGGACCTCTCGTATACTATTTTACGACAGTGTACTTCTCTCTTACAGATCAATACACTTTAAGTGATAGAAATTAATGATTATATTCCTTACTTTTCCTGTCTCCTTTTATCTTGGGCCATTCCTCTCCCTCGAAGTCATAGCGAATATCTTCATATTTTTGTCCCACCAGGTGAAACAGCATCCGGGAAGGTTCTCCCCTGGAACGGGCATCGAAGTATGTGAGCTTGTAGTTAGGCATCGTCAACAATTATTATGAATTCACAAAATGATATGAAATCCAAAGCGATAGTGAACAAAGTCGATGATATCCCAAGCCAACCCGTGCGTAGTGCTCAAGTGAATGCAGATGGGAACGAACGTATTGCGTTATCACGCTGTCGCTCAAACTTGAACCCCACAGAGCGTAAACAATGGCAAAGAACGTGCCTCAAATTTGACCTTCGATGTAAGGACGGGTCTGCACTATTGGCATTTCCAAAGTCTGTGTTTACCTTAAAATTGTCCATTCCTCGCCAGTTGAGAGGTACGGGCAAATATAGAAGAGGGAGAGAGAGGATAGAAACATGTTTTTGTACTCCGCTATTTTCTTTGACCCGGTTTCACGAACTTGGATTAACCTAGATTCGAAGGTTCAATTCAATTCAATATATTCAGCCAATCGTTAAAAAATATTTACAACCACACTGGTACTGGTACAGTTATAATATGATGACAGCTATGGACCTCTGAGAAGCAAAGCTTGCAATTGGGGCCCATGAACATACAATAAATAAAATATAATAAAAACATACAATAACAAACAAAACAAAAAAGACGTAAATGTATATTCATAATTCTTACAAAACAATTACAAATATCTTGCAAACACACTGAGCCATACTCACTCACACACAATGCGATGCACTTTAAAGCATATCATAAGAGAGAGGGAGAGAGAGAGAGAGAGAGAGAGAGAGGGATATTTAAAAGAAAATGTAAGAAGAGAAAACACAAAAGCGAAACATGAGATTAAAGCTTATAGTCCTACCTAGTTTTACAACATAATAAATAGTTCCCTTTGCACAAAACTTTAAATCCGGACAAAGTTAAACTTGATCTTATATCCTCGTTTAAATCATTCCATTTGCTCATTCCCACATTTCGAAATGATTTCAATGCATATGTTGTACGTACAAGGGGTTTGTGTAATAACATTTTTGCCTTGTGTTATGTGAATGAACAGATGGATGACTAACAAACATGTTTTGAAAAATGTGCGGAAGATTACCAGTTTGTAGGCATTTGAGGTCTTAAACCAGTTTTCCATCCCACTATCAGAAAATGAGAAGAAGAGCAAGAAAGAAAGAGGAAGAAAGAGAGATCACCACATCCATATTTGGACAGTTAATCTCATATGATTCTGAAATAAACTCAATTAATAGCTGTACAGCTTAGCTAACCAACCCCATATAAGCAAAAGTATCTCTCTGAGTTGTTGAGTGTGTCTCCTTAATCTACACATCCATAAAAATGTTTTTTTTTAAATAATGTCTACCCTGTCCTTTTCATATAATTTTTTTGTTGCTTATAAGTATTGTTAATCCTTGATTATCATCTTACACCTCAAAATAATAAAAAAAGACATTCAATATCACCGGCAGAAAGTACATAATTATGTTGGTAATAATAGTCTTAAAGGGATTGTTGAGTTATGTTGCAGAGGGCACTTCTCAAAATAATCTTTTTGTGAGATAATGAAAACTGAGTGTCAAATTTGAAAAAAATATAAAATTTAAGTGACAAAACCATCTTTGTTTGATCAAAATCGGTTCAGAGACCGCAGGAATATCCATAAATATAACCATTTCCAATATTTGTGGTACCCACAAATATTTGGAAATTTTTAACCAGCCGTTGAAAAACGAAATAGCGCCTTATATTTTTAAATCCAGCTTTGTGTTGGCTTTTTCGTGTTGGTTATAATACGCACAACCGTGTATAATTTTTTGTTTAATAATTAATTAACGGCCAACGTATTTTTTGAGAGTGGATCTGAATTGATATGATCGTATTCAATCTAAATTCACACATTTTGGGGTATACACTTACCTTCATAGCAATTCTAGGTTCTAAAGGGGTACTAGAAATGTCATAAATGAGAATAAAAGCAATAACCAAGCACTTTAAAGGCATTTGCGGTCTTAAACAAGAAATCAACTATCCCTTTAACCATATTTTTCACATGGATCAATGTAGAATGTAAAGATTGAATGTAGATGAATAGCCAATATCACACAACGCGTTTTACAGAAGCAGGAAGAGACAGGAAGGAGAAAAACGCGTATGGAGGACATTATGAGTATACTGCGTGATGGCGCCTCGGTGTCATGTCACGTGGTATTATCTTGATGTTGAGCTGGATGGTGTCACAACTCATGTTTCTTAATTAATAAACAACAAATTACTGATCCAATTAAAATTTCAAACGCTTTTAATGAGCATTATATAGATGTAGGCCCTTATCGAGCAGCTAATCAGGTGGTATGAATTACAGTAAGTCCTTGATTTTTCCAAGTGAAAATTCCTTATTTCTAATTACTCCCACCAATGATTATTAAATTGTTGGAGTACCACAAGAATCGATATTGGGTCCCTTTTATTTATTATTCATATAAAAGATACGAACGAATCCTCTTCACTCTTAAACTTTATCATCTTTGCTCATGATACGGTACTATTTGTTATTCCTATAAAAAAACTGTAATACGCTAATAGACCAGTTAAATTGTGAATAAATGACAATTTCTAAGTGGTTTAAATCTAATAAACTATCATAAATTTAAGCAAACCCAATTTCATCTATTTCGAAAAGACTAACGTATGTTTACGACTTGCCTGTCATTGGAAAAAATCTATTTAGGAGTCACAATTGACTCTCATTTAAATTTAATGAGCATATACGGAATTAACATACGTCAATATCAAGGAATATTTGAATACTGTATATGTTTTAAAAAAATGTTTCTGAAAGATCTAAGACTGCATTATATAATTTTCAAATTTATTGAATTCATTATTTTTGCTGCAAAAACGAGAGATTCGCATGATTACTAACTCAAATTATTCATTACACAACGAACCATTAATTCATCATTTAAAAACATTACAAATTACAAGATATTCACCATTTACAGACAAGCATGTTTTTGTATAAGTATTCTCATAATCAACTCCCATCCCTATTTCACAACATTTATGGTTTAAACTCACACATTCACACATATCCCACCCGTCGTTCAAATAATTATCACTTAGAAACTCCTAAAATAATGTTAGCCCTAAAGTCAGTAAGACATCATGGACAAGATGTTTGAACTCCTACCAAATTCAATAAGACACTGTTAATCTCTCTTTTCTCTTAAAGCATCTTTTTAAAAAACTTCTATATCGAAAAATCAACATATTTAATTTCAACATGCAATAGGCAATTCTCGACCGGGATTCAAAATAATTCGCAACCGGGATATCGTGCTTTCAGAAAGTTGATTTAATATTTGGTCTTCTTTCGGTCCTTCAGGTACTGTGTGAGTGGAGAATCATTCTTGATTGACTCGTAGAATTTGAGGAGGGTCGGGTAGGATTCAAAGTAGGTCTTGAGACCAAAAATGGTGTCCAGGAAGAAATCTATTATGTTGAAGATGACCACATCGGCTATGGTTATCTGTGAAGAAAAAGATCAAACGATTGTAAGACATATGGCAGTGATATTAGAGTGCTCCAGGTTAAATTGCTTATACTAATATTCCTCGCTTTAACCCTCGACCCCAACATCCCCATGATACGACCATAAACTATTCTAGTAAGAGGCGTGTATAGAACCACGTGAATTATCTTTGTTACTCTATAATTTCAATTTTTGTATTAATTGAGAATGATTCTACATTATAGATATTAATAAATTGAATTTAAATATTGATTTAAGCCTAAACATGATGTAAAGCCAAATTGTAAACCAAACTCTATAACACGTTTATTCGTAGGTCAGTATGTCATTGATTAACCATTTTGAATAGAGGGGTGGACAGTTTTTTGCCGACAATTTTTTCCTATGTTTCCAACCACCGGCGACCATCCATTTGAATATTATTATAAGGGCAATTTTTAAAGTCTTCGGGGGACATTTCTATAACTTACATAAAGGAAAGAGAAAGCCCAACAGATTTGAACTCGACCTTCTCTTCCAATTCCAAACAGACTTTGCAAACAGAAAATGAGTTGTTGCTTGGGTCAAAATCTTTCTTAGTTGCCGAATTATTACTAGTTTGGATAGTTCAGGCTTTTTGGTCCTGTATATACTGTTCTAAACGTATTAATACACTTTATTTGGCTTACTTCGAATGATTGGGTCATCACGCCCTGTCGGGGGGTCGTGTTACACGTTTTTTTCGTGACCTTTCGTAGATTTGCCGTAAGGTTTTCACAAAGTGTGAACCGTAGTGTCGGGTTAATTGGACCAGATCTCCATTTGTAGGTGAGAGGGGTTTATTCCACAGCCCATTCTTTCTTGTGACTTACCCGGTTTCCCATAAAGTATTTTCCTCCTGCTTTCTGAAGAGACTCAGAGAAGAAATCCCAAGAAGGCTTCAGAGTACTGTCTCTACACTTGACGAGATCAGCTTCCTGACAATATAAATGAAAACAACATATGCATGTACTTCTGATGTTCTACAATGTTTAGTCATAATATCAACCAGGAAGGGGGTATATTGCATTTACATTGAGCACTATAAGGCAATGAGCTTGGTACTCTTGGCGCTCCACAGTAATAACCCCGGTTTTAGCATGGCTGCCACTATGGCGCTATAGCATTATAAAGAATTAATTCACCCCAGGTACCCATTTACCAATTTCTACCAAGGACATTAGTGGTGCTACGAGGATTCGAAACTTAACCTTGTGGTTCACAGTCTGGAGACCAATCTACTGGACCACAACATCTCTACATATAATATAATATGCGACGGGAATTAAGGTTTTATAATTACAATTATTCTTACTCTTTTAGCAGCATCGGGTGTCTCGTAGGCTGGTTCGACAACCACCTCAATGTCAGCCACAATCCCAAGGATTTCATCAATTCGGGCACATTCCAGGTTGTTCTTCCCGTAGTAATCTACACAAATAATTGTTGTGAAGATAGAGTATGACTATATGAACCATGTGAACCCCCTTTGTGTTCCAACACAATCTCGCAAACGAGGACTACGACTACATAGTTATAGTCATCCAATAAGCAAATTATAATCTGTAAGGTACAACTTCTTCATTGAAAACACGACAGTATTTGAATAAACCTGCTAATCAAAATGCAATTGACTTACCACCTGGGAATTGACGCGCAATATAGCGGTATATAGCTCTGCTCTGAGTCAGAAGCTCGCCGTCTACATCCAGTACTGGGAGCTGACCGAGTGGAAATCCTGGAAAAATATAAATATTTAAATATCATTTTAACCAGCTGTCTACCGAATTGTCATGTTCTCCATAGGTTAGTCCGGAAAACATCCGGTTCCAGTTATCAATGGTGAAGATGATTGGGGAATGAAAATGCGGTTGTAAGCAGGGGCTTCGCTAGACCTTTTTTCAGTGTGGGGGAGGGGGTGTAGAGGCCATCAATTACCGACAAAACTACCAACCAATTACCAACAAATATATATTAATGCCATGGGCCATTGTCTACGTATTTAACCCTATAAACCCGGGGCCGGGGGCTAATTTTCCTACGAACTATCTATGCCTGTGCGTGTGTACATGGTCATTTTCCTCGACATCATAAATATACGGTAAATTCCGTCAAGACTAGACAGCATCGCAGCTATAAAAACGAATGTGCAACATCGATGTTCTCTAGTAATTGCTCCATGAAGCAGTTTATATTGAATTTCTCTTAGTCTGTTAACAAGAGTTAAAAGGGACTACTAAATATCTCCCTATATACCTCATTTGAAAAATCTGAAAATCCTTACCCATCCTGAATCTTCAAAACAAATAAATTTTAACTTTTCTATGAAATATTCATAAACCTTCCTCGATAAAAGAATCTCTGAGGAGCTTCACAGTACCGTACCGTTTAATTGCATTAAAATATCATACTCTTTTACATCCACTACACTTCAGTTATCCTTTTCACCGCTTCTCAAAATAGCTTCCACAATACTCCATATATCAATAATTTTGTTTCCTTTTAACTCCAAAGGTTGAAAAAGAGATATTGACCGCATGCTATTTTCAGCAAAAATATCTTGAACTGAAATTGTATTGCATGTTAACAACTCCTCATCGAGAATCATTTTCTTTTTTAATAAGAAATTTGTATTGTTAAAAATGGTTCAACCCCCAACCCCCCTTAACTTTTTTATGTATATGTTTTGGATACCCCCCCCCCTTTGCGTTTTTTTTTTATTTAAAAAAAAAAAAGAAATTATGGTAATGGGTGACCCGAAAAACCTGATTTACCCCCCCCCCCCCCCGCGCTTATTCAGCGGCTTGCTGAGTCGTTGAGAAATTTTCGGCGTGATTTTGAAATATTAAAGCCCCCCCCCCCCCTCGAAAAAAAAATCCTGCGTACGCGCCTGCTCATCGAAAATCATTTTCTTTTTTAATAAGAAATTTGTATTGTAAAAAATATTTGGATTATTCTTTTCTTCAAAATTCCTACAAGCTCCAAACTCTTCCCATGCTTTAATCATTTCTAAATAGAACTTAGGTACTTTGAAACTCAATAACTTGGAATCATAGTTACGCAAGAAAATAAATCCACTCAAGGTCCACACACGCAAGCACACATGCGTTAACCCACACACTCAGACATACACACACACACGCACTCCCACACACAACCACACACACGTAGATCGATCATGCCTAGAAAACAGAGTGCATGCTCTGGTGCATGGTGACCTTAATTTTTTAACTCTAATATTCGTTACAAGTTATAAACCATTATTGTATTAATATGAATCGTACGGATGCGGTGACACAGCACTTTTTGTTGACACAGATTGCTTATACATGCACAATTATTTTGTATACAGTCCAGGGATGAACAAACACAAGATACGTGGTACATGATAATCTATATGATTTGCCCTTGGTAGCTTTGGTTGTGGTCACAGTATAGCCAGGTGCATATTTGATATGCACCTGCAAGGGAGGAAAGGAATGTGGGGGAAAAAACACCTTTACAAGGATGTAAGCACCGAGCAAAGATCGCAACCTGGGGGTGTTTTACAAAGATCCCAAGTCAAACTTAACTCTAAGTTGGACTTAAATATTATGGAGAGCCATTTGTAGCCATAATATAATATATATTCAAAAGCGTAAATTCAAGCATTTTAGACTTTTTATAAATCCCACACCAAGAACATGAAATCTCCTTGATAATATAAAATATGAATGATATGAATCTACATGTATGCCTTTTAAAAAAACTTTTACAAAATATTGTCATGGATGATAATGGCTTTCCATAAATTTTGAGTCCAACTTAGAGATAATTTAAACTTAGGATCTTTGTGAAACACCCCCTGGACCTTTCGTATACTATCACACGATAGGTAGACTTCTCTTTTACAGATCAATAAGCTTTTGATGAATGATATTTGTATGTGATTAAAAATGTGGCATAGTCCTTACTCTTCCTGTCTCCCTTTATCTTCGGCCACTCCTCTCCCACGTAGTCATAGCGAATATCTTCATATTTTTGACCCACCAGGTGAAACAGCATCCTGGCTGGTTCTCCTTTGGCACGTGCATCGAAGTATGTGAGTTTGAAGTTAGGCATCGTCAAAGATGATAATTAAATCACAAAATGAGATGAAATCCAAAACGAAGATTGAACGACGTCGATGATGACCAAAGCTAGCCCGTGTGAAGTGCCGAAATGAATGCAGACGGCGACGAATGTACTGGGTTATCACGCTATCGCTCAAACTTGACCCCGCAGAGCGTTTACAATATGTACTACCCACTCTGTCTTTTCTCTTTACTTTGTATAATTATCTGTGACCATTGGAGCCCAGCCTTTGTAAGGCCTATCGCCTCTGCTGGCTCCTCTATATGCTTTGTGTTGTTTATATATTTTCTCATATGTATAATCATAGACCTACGTTGGTGGTAGGTCTATGGTATAATATATTGTTGAATGTATTTTTTCGTCCGACCTGTGCTTCAGAGACCATGCACATTGCTCAGTTATTATCTCGTCAGCCACACCTACGAGACCAACACCAGACCGACAACAGACCAATCGAAACATGACATTACCCACAGTGGCCAAGTATATTGGTCGGTTCGGACTCTTTTTTGGAGTAGGCCTGGTGGCAAGACTGACGTTTCAATGATTGGAGTTTATGTAATTTGGTTGTCTTCACTTGTGTCATATTTTACATTTCCTTCCCTTATTTGTTCAAAAAGAAAGCACTTCATTCAAATAAATCCAATTGAGGTTAGAGGGGTGGACTTTAGCAGTCCTCAGTTATTTGCATAAATATTCCATTGTGATTCAGTGTCTGTGTTCGTGTACTATTCGACTAAACCAAGCCATTGCTAGTTTAATATTAATATTTGAAGAACCTGTGTTATATTTTTCATTTTGTGCTAAGTCATCGAGTAAACACTCTTTGAAATGTCGGATTCCCAAGGGTATTTTATAGACACCGGAAGTACACGTAGTCATGGTATAGGAGACTATTCGAGGATAAGTGATTATGAGGAGGCGTGTGTGGGTGAGGGTGAGGTGTTGATTACGGATGCTCATTAGTCCCACAGATAATTCCTCTTATATTTTAATTCACATGGTTTCAGTGTGGTGTGACCAAGGTATTAAGTATGTTAAAAGAAAGATGGTGTTTCATACCTTATTTTTGTCCGACTATGTTTCCCAAAGTCTGTTAAGAGTGCCGTGCAAGAAATCTCATAGCTACGCATCATCTTAAAAAAGGGTTCTTTGTGTCTCTTAAATGTAACTAGGTTCAAAACATTTCTTACAAACTTATGAATTGTAAGATCCAATTTCATATAGAACACGAACTTGGATTAACCTAGATTCCAAGGTTCTCCATCCATCTTTCAGAAAGTGAGAAGGAGAGCAAGAAAGGAAATGGGAAGAGGGGAGATCACTACATTTTCATTCGGACAACTAAACTCATAAGAAAATCTGTGATTGGTTTCATAGGATTCCGAAATAAATTTAATAAATAGCTAAAGAGTTTTTTCTAAAATTCTTGAAAAACTTATATGTAAAAGTTTTAACATCATTTAAAAAAAAAATGATTATTGATTCCTAACCAGTTCGGATTTAGAAATGGTCATTCTACCGATAATGCGATTTTATATTATTTTTGATAAAATAATTGAGGCTTTTGGGAACAGTGACCATATCATTGGAGTATTTATGGACTTGTTAAAAGCATTTGATACGATTGTTCATAAAATATCAATTTATAAATTACAATACTATGGCGTAAGAGGTCAAGCTCTTTCTTGGTTTACCAATTATTTACGAAACAGACAACAAAACGTATCTTTCCAAAGTCACGAATGTAAACAAAAATAAATCACTATTAAACGTGGAGTACCGCAAGGATCGATTTTGGGTCCTTGTTATTTATTATTTACATAACAAATCCTCTTCACGTATCATCTTTACTGATGATACGAGTATTTGTTATTCCTATAAAAAATTTGATACGCTCATATACCAGTTGAATTGTGAATTAATGACAATTTCTAGGCGGTTTAAATCTAATTAATCATCATTAAATGTAAGTAAATCAAATGTCATTTATTTTCAAAAGACTAACGTACATGATATAAGGAATGGTAGTATTGATATTTTACGGAGTGTCTGTCATTTGGAGAAAAAAATCTGTGCAATGTTTAGTAGTCACTATAATTGACTCTCATTTAAATGTTAATGAGCGTATACTTAATATACATACGTCAATATCAAGGAATATTGGAATACTTTATAATGTTTCTGAAAGATCTATAATTACATTATATAATTTTGGAATGTTATCACATGTATTTCATAGTGATATTGTATGGGGCAATTGTAATACATGTATACCAAGAATGAATTCATTATTTTTGCTACAAAAGAGAGAGGGAGATTAAAAACATTGCAAATTTCAAGATATTCACCTTTTTACAGACAAGCATTTTTATGTATAAGTATTTTCATAATCAACTTCCATCCCTATTTTACAACATTATGGTTTTAACTCAACATTCACACATATCCCAACCGTCGTTCAAAAAATGATCACTAAAGCCCCGTCTTAACAGAACTTTTTCGATCTCACCCGAGCGACATGAGAAACAGTGGGGAGTCTGATCGTAAAACACGGGGTGAGCTTTTGGACACCGTCTTAATCAGCAATCCGCAAAAACCTCACCCAGCGATCAGCTGGCGCGCGCTGTGTACATGTATACATTTTCTCACGATGATGACGTAATTTACCCGGATGAATATCACCCTGGCTCGTCTAGGGTGATATTTACCTTGATATTGTCCGGACGTTACCCCGATTGACGCGTCTTGGGCGCGTTCATGCTTGATTTTGACGGCCAGAATCAGGCATCTGTTACGCGTTTAGTTTAAAACACGGTTGCGTCTTAGCTCACTTTTGTAGAATCACCGACAAACGGCGATCACGATCGCCGATCGTAAACTCACAAAAAGATGCGTTTACAATTTGTAAACGCGTTTAAATGGGGTCAACGCACTGACCTCTAGTGGGTCTACGTAGCATGCACAGTGAAGGTTTGCGAATCCAGCTGGAAGACCAATTAAGGCCACACACTGAGAATTGCCTGGGGGAGCCAGAGAAGTAAGCATGAACACTACATCGTGGAACTGCGATCACGATGAGCGTTTACGATGAGCGTTTCAGATCGCTCATTCTGCCTTCAAAATTTAAGCATGAACGCAGCCTAAATTGGAAGGTGGTAAATGTCGTCCGGACGTCACCGCGACTTTATTTTCCAATTAAGACGGGGTTTAAGACGGAGTTTTAGAAACTCCTAAATAATCTTAGCCCAAAAGTCAGTAATTAAGACATCATGGACCAGATGTTATGAAGTCCTTACCAAATACAATAAGGCACTGGTCATCTCTCTTTCCTTTTAAAGCGTCTTTTAAAACACTCTTATATCGTAATATCAACATATTAATTTTAACGTGCAATAGGCAATAATAACTGACATTTCAAATGTTGGTCACATTGCAAGTCATGTTTGCTGCTTAGTATTCTATTTCATATTTTATTTTTCCTCGGTTGAAATGCTTATATTTGTTTCCAATTGTTACTTCTTTCAACATACTTGTAGTTGATACCCTGGTCACAGCACCGAATCGGCTCCACAACGACTAAAACCCCGGGCATCGTTTCACGAAACCTTCGTAAGTGCGAATTCACCAACATCCCATTGATTCACGTGTTTTAAATACATGCATTTCAATTAGTTGTCGGCGAACTTGTACTTACGACGGTCTCCTGAAAGGCCGTCCAGATGTCGGCCTCGTTGGTGGGACCGGGGCGCGATTTTTTTTTCTTCCCCAAATTGGTTTATATTTCAGGTCTTCTGAAAGGCTGATATGTTTTACTTCATTAGCAGCTTGGATAGCGGTCACAAACAAATCAACTTTGATTTTGTTGTTGTTGTATTGCTTTGCCTCACTATTTATAAAGGCCAACAAGTAAAGGACTGACAAATTCCTCGGAATCGAACCCACAACTCTAAGATTGCAGTACGCTGGCCTTTTCGATTGAGCCAACTATGGGTTGATGAAAGATGGGTTTGCATGATTATAATAACCCTAACCCTAACCCTAATCCTAACGGTTACGTCATTGCTAATGACGTAAAACATATCAGCCAATCAGAAGACAATCAGAAGACAATATTAATAATAGCAAACCTGTTTGGGACAAAAATTCGCAACCGGGTTATAGTGCTTTCAGAAAGTTGATTTAATATTTGCCGTATACTTTCGGTCATTCAGGTATTGTGTGAGTGGAGAATCATTCTTGATTGACTCGTAGAATTTGACGAGGGTTGGGTAGGATTCAAAGTAGGTCTTTAAACCAAGACCGCTGTCCAAGAAGAAATCTATTATGTTGAAGATAACCACATCGGCCATGGTTAACTGTGAAGAAAAAGATTCAAACGATTGTAAGACATGCTGCTTGGATATTAAAGTGTTCCAGGGTCAATTTCTGTAATACTAATATACTTGCTTAAACCCTCGACCATAATACAACCATAAACTTGTAATACATTCCAGTAAAGGCGTATATAATTATCTTGAACCACGTATTTAGCATCACTTAAATTATCTTTGTTACTCTATAATTTTAATTTCTGTATTAAATTAGAATGATTCTACCTTTTAGATATTAATAATTTAAATTTAAATATGAGTTTTAGCCTAAACTTGATGTAAAGCCAAATTGTAAACCGAACTCTATAACCCGTTTGATCGTAGGTCTATGACGCTTTGTCATTGATAGACCATTTTGAATGGGGGGGGGGGGGGGGGTGGACCGTTTTTTTGCCGACAATTTTGCCCCATGTTTCCAACTACCTGCGAGCATCCATTTGAATATTATTATGAGGGCATTTGTTTTAGAGCCATGCTCTTCGGGAGTCATTCAAACTGACATAATTATAGGAAATAGAAAGCCCAACAAATTGAACTCGACCTTCTCTTTCAATTCCAAACAAACTCTGCGAACAGAAAATGAGCTGTTGCGCCGGGAAAAGCTCCTAGTATATATACTGTTTGCAGTTATGTTGTAAACGTATTAGACACTTTACTTGTGTTGCTTCGAATGATCGGGTCATCGCGTCCGGTCGGGTCGTTTTTTACACGACCTTTCGGGAAACGAAAAGGGATCACGCGACCTTTCGTAGATTTACCGTCGGATTTTCACAAAGTGTCGGGTAAATTGAACCAGATCTCCATTATATTTGTGGGTGAGAGTGGTTTATTCCACAAACATTACCCCGACATTTCGTGAATAAAGGGGCATGTTTTCACAAAGGTCGTTTTACGCGACCACCCGACCCGACGCGATGATCTGATGATTCGAAGTAAGCCCTTTATTTCTTGTGACTTACCCGGTTCCCCATAAAGTACTTTCCTCCTGCTTTCTGAAGAGATTTATAGATGAAATCCCAGGAAGGCTTCAGAGTACTGTCTCTACACTTGACAAGATCAGCTTCCTGATAATATCAATGAAAAAAATATATTTCTGATAGTTAGGACATCGTGTATTTATAACATCAACCAGTAGCAAAAGACCAGGAAGGGAGTATTATTGCATTTACATTGAGCACTTATAGTGAAGGCGATGAGCTTGACACTCTTGGCGCTCCATAGTTATTACCCCGGTTTTAGCATGATTACCACTATGGCGCTATAGCATTTTAACGAATTAATTCATGCCAGGTACCCATTTACCAATCATGTAGATTAATTTCTTACCAAAGGACATAAGAGCTGCTACAGGGATTCGAACCTGAAGCTTGTGGTTCACAGTTCGGAGACTAATCCACTGGACCACAACACCTCTACATTATTATACAACGGGTATTAAGGTTTTATAATTACAATTATTCTTACTCTTTTAGCAGCATCGGGTGTCTCATAGGCTGGTGCGACTGCATTCTCAATGTCAGCCACGATCTCAATGATTTCATCAATTCGGGCACACTCCACGTTGTTCTTCCCATACTAATCTACAAATTAAAACAAATTTTGCGAAGATACAGTATGACAATATTATGAACCAGCTTTTTGATTCAACACAATCTCGCAATCGAGGACTATAACTACATTGTTATAGTCCTTCTATAGGCAATTAATAATCTGTAGGGGACAAATTCTTCATTGAAAACATGAAAGTATTTTGAATAATTCTACTAATCAAAATATAATTGATATCAATCTCATGGTATATGTATAAGTGACTTACCACCGGGGAATTGACGTGCGATACAGCGGTTTATAGCTCTGCTCTGACTCAAAAGCTTGCCGTCTACTTCCAGTATTGGGAGCTGACCAAGGGGAAACTCTGGAGAAATACAAATTTATTAGTATCAATATAATTTTGACCCGCTGACTACCGAATTATCATGTTCTCCCACGCACGCACACGCACAATCACACAACTTCACGCACCCCGAACAAGTTACGAACTCACGCGTATTAATCAGTTATCAAACAGACGACTGGGTTGCTCCATTCATAGCTATTAATATAACCTTGATAATGACTTAAATCCTTAACTTCATCTATGGACCAGAGAGACTATTGCAACCACAACCCTAAATAAGTTTATCCTATTGATTACCTCTATTACCGCTACAAAAAAAACCCCGGAGCGATTGACATTTTATGCCTTTTAAAATAACTGTTGCAAAATATTTTCATAGATGCGAACGTCTTTCCATAATTATTAAGTCGAACTGAGAGATAAGTTCAACTTAAGATCTTTGTGAAACACCCCCACTCCCCCCCCCCCCCCACAGGAGTGAGTGACAATTAAGGAGAGAGCGAGCGAGATACTCTATCGGAATAGCAATGTGTAGAAAGAGAGAGAGAGAGAGAGAGAAAGAGAGAGAGAGAGAGATGAAGACATCTAGGGAAGGATAGGGAAAAGAAAGCTGTGGAAATGAAGAATGAATACGGAAACAAGGACATTAGAAATACGTTAGGTAAATAATAAGGTACCGAAATGGAACAGTCAAGGGGAAAAGAAATCTATTTAATGAACGAAATTATATTGCATGACATAAGATAATCTCTATATCAAACTGATTGGTTTAAGAAGTATATAGATCAATCATGCCTGGAAAACAGAGTGCATGCTCAGGTGCACTTTAATTGTCAAGTATATTCGTTACGAGTTATAGCATTTGATTAATATGAATCAGACAAACACGGTGACAAAGCATTTTGCTGACATCAAGATGCTATGTACACATAGATGAGTTTCCCTGGGTAGCTTGATTTGGCCGGGGTACATAATTCAATATACACTAAAAGGAAAGGAACGGTATATAGGCCAAAAAAACACCTTGTACAAGGATTTAAGCACCGAGCAAAGATCGAACCCGAGACCTCTCGTATAGTATCATACCACAGTGTACTTCCCTCTTATAGATCAATAAGCTTAGATGTTGTTGTTAGATTATGCTTGAAGGCAATTCAGTCAAAATTGACTATTTTTGCGTTTGTCTACCTCTCATTAGAAATCTAGCCATCTGATTGGTCGAAATTGGAGTCGTGATTTTAGCCACTCCCGGTCATTAGTTCATGATTGAGATTCCCTATAAAGATTCCGGGTACCGGAACAATAGTAAAATTTTGATGAGATCTCCATTAGTTTACGTGTTAACATTTTGTTTGTGCGAGCGCGGACACCATACAGTGCTTGTTCCCAAATGATTGTAACATTCAGTCATCTTTTCAGCGAAGATCAACAGACAGTGTCTCAGGTTACCAATCTTTACTCAAGAACAGGATAAGGTTGGAATTCTTGGTAGATTTTTGTGTCAATTCTCTATAATAAAGTCATATCGACTGCTTTAAAGGCCTACTTCACTACTTGTAGCTACTTGCGCCCTCTATATAACAAACAATGCCTAATCGGTGACCATTGGTCCCCCATGATCCTCTTTTTCTTATGTTAACTGAGAGCTGAGTTGATGAGATAACCACCTGTCCAGTGACCTTGCAGTGCGCTCTAATTCCCCCTGTAAACTACGGCAGATAAGCTTTAATATTCGAGGCCTGGCTGTTGGCTCTCGGGGACGCCATCAGGCCTCTCGTAGCAGTCGCTTGTCTACATTATGATAGAAAATGATTATACTTTTTACTTTTGCTGTCTCCTTTTATCTTCGGCCATTCCTCTCCCTCGAAGTCATAGCGAATATCTTCATATTTTGTCCCACCAGGCATGGGTGTCGATCCCGGGGGGATGGGGGGGGGGGGGGATATATCCCCCCCCCCCCCAATATTTCAGGTGGGGGGGATGGCCTGTACAATCATCCCCCTCCCCCAATAATTCACCATCGAAAAAATAAAAAAAATAAATAAAGAGAAAAATTAATGATGAGAGCCCGATGAGAATAGTTCATGGTTATTACTCGCAAGATGACCATCAATATACACATTTTGCTATCTCATTTTCATAATACATACACATATACGAAATAAATGAGACAACCGTATATGGGGGAGGGGGGAACTGAATTCAGACAAGGACACGATACGACGAACCGTCTTCCTTCTCTAATAGTTTAATAAAACGGTAAAGCTCCCGCGCTTCGCGCGTGATGGGTGAAAATGAATATAGACAAGGATTAAGAGTAATAATTTTTTGAACCGTCAAAGCTTCCGCGCTTCGCGCGGGAGGCGGGGGGGGGGGGGGATTGCACTCAGACAAGGACACGATACAACGAATCGTCTTCTTTCTCTTATAATTTAATGAAACGTGAAAGCTTCCGCGCTTCGCGCGAGTTGGCAAAAATATAGACGAGGATTAGGTAATAATTTACTGAACCGTCAAAGCTTCCGCGCTTCGCGCGGGAGGGCGGGGGGATTGCACTCAGACAAAGACACGATACAACAAATCGTCTTCTTTCTGTATTAATTTAATGAAACGTGAAAGCTTTCGCGCTTCGCGCGAGATGGGAGAAAATGAATTCATACAAGGATTAAGAGTAATAATTATTTGAAACGTCAAAGCTTAACCCTCTTCGCGCGGGAGGGGGGGGGGAGAACTGAATTCAGAGTCGAGAACGGTACAACGGATCGTCTTCTTTCCCTAATAATTTAATGAAACGTCAAAGCTTCCGCGCTTCGCGCAGGAGGGTTGGGAAACTGAATTCAGACAAGGATTAAGAGTCGAGAATGGTACTTCGAATCGTCTTCTTTCTTTAATAATTTAATGAAACGTCAGAGTTTCCGCGCTACGCGCGGAGGAAGGGGAACTTGGTTTAAACATTAAGGATTAAGAGTCGAGAATGGTACATCGAATCGTCTTCTTCCTTTAATAATCTAATGAAACATCAGAGCTTCCGCGCTACGCGCGGAGGAAGGGGAACTTGATTCAAACAAGGGTTAAGAGTCGAGAACGTTCAGACAATAATTTAATGAAGCGTCGAAGCTTCCGCGCTTCGCGGGGGAATGGGGAAACTCCTCCCTCCCTGCACCCAACCCCCTAGGGAGTGTGCTTTGCGTGCTCACTACCCCCCCCCCTTAAATGAAATCCTGGCTACGCGCTTGGGGATGGGGTGCAACCTGCCACACGTTTCTACCTTTTGGTTGCTTTGATCCATTGCCGAAATTTTTTTGTCACCTATCATCCCCCCCAACCACGGATACAAATCGACACCCTTGCCACCAGGTGAAACAGCATCCTGGCAGGTTCTCCTTTGGCACGTGCATCGAAGTATGTGAGCTTGTATAGTTAGGCATCGTCAAAGATGATAATTAATTTACAAAATGAGATGAAATACAAAACGATGATTGAAAGACGTCGATGATAACACAAGCTAGCCCGTGCGAAGTGCTGATTGAAGTGAATGCAGACGGCAAAGAAAATACTGCTTTATCACGCTATCGCTTAAATAATTGGACCCCACGTACCTCAAAATTACATTCGATGTCAGAACAGACGTTCCATCAACATTTGTCCGCCGATAACTGTCAGCGCTCACTAACTTTGCCAATCAGAGGCCTGGAAAATAGTCGGTGACAATGTTTCATGAAACGCCCCCCCCCCCGGTCTACACTATTGACATTTCCCATGTCTGTGTTTATCTTTAAAATTTTCATTCCTCGCCAGTTGAAAGGTATGTGGAAATATAGAAGAGAAAGAGGGAGAGAGAGAGAGAGAGAGAGAGAGAGAGGAGACATCGAGAGAGAAAAAAATATGAAAGAGAGAGAGAGATAGTGAGAGGGAAAGAGAGGGACGTCGGACAAATATTTACATGTATTTCATAATACAGATTACATAGAAAGAGATCCACAGAGGGAATGATTCAAGGAGAAAGAGGACGAAGACGTGATAAGAATGAAGGAAGGAGGGAGAGAGAGAAAGAACAGAGAAAGAGAAAAAGAGGGAGATCAAAGTAACAGATTGGAAGAAAGAGGGAGAAAGAGAGAGAGAGGATGAAAACATCTCTTTGTAGTCCGCTATTTTCGTCGATCCGTTTTCCCGAGGTTCTCCATCCGTCTTTCAGAAAATCAGTAGGAAATGAGAGATCGAAATAGGAATAAAGGAAGATCCCTACATTCTTATTCGGACAGTTAAATTCATAAGACTATCTGTGACTGGTTCCATATGATTCCTTAATAAACATATGAATATACCTAGCCAGTAACTGTTTAGCTAACCAACCCCATAGAAGCAAAATTATGTGTTGCTTTTTTATGGTAAATTCATGGTTATTTTCTAGCTTGCACCTCCAAATAATAAATGACATTAACTATTTCATCGGCATAAAGTGCTTAATCATGTTAGTAATAATAGTCTTAAGTCACTTGAATCAGTACGAAGATTAATGTAGATGAATGGCCAATATAAACACAAGGCGATGTACAGTAGAGGACTAAGAAGGAGAAAAACGCGTAGAGAGGACTTTCGAGTACAATATACTCCGTGATGGCGCCTCGGTGTCATGTCACGTGGTATTATCTTGATGTTGAGCTGGTGTTGAGCTAGCCTATCCAATATGCATCGGGCTTTAAGGCATATATACTCTCACGTTATAGGGACAGACATCGGCGATGTCTGTCTCCATAACGCGATTAGTACTTGCCTGGACCCGACGCATAGCGGATAGGCTAGTGTTTAGCTGGATGGCGTCACAACTCATGTGAAGACAACTCGATGACGTCATTATAGATAAGTTAATAACGCTAAGTGATAATGCAGCGTGGATGATTCGAGAAGGGGATTGAACACGTTGCGATAAATCACAAGAGGATTTTTGAGCAGCACGACAGTTTTCATTTCCAGTTGTCCCCAAAAAGCACTTCACTCAATTAAAACCAGTTGAAGTTAAGGGAGTGGTTTTTAGCAGTGCTTATTTGCACAACCATCGTGTTTCAGTGCACGTGTTCATGTATACGTCGAATAAAAAAATCTATTGTTGGTTCACTATTAATATTTGAAGAACCTGGGCAGAGTCATCGAGTAAACATTCTTTAAAATGTCGGATTCCTAAGGTTTTTTTGTTATAGAAACGGAAAGTGCACGTAGTTACGGTATAGGAGACTATTCGAGGATAGAGATTTTGAGGTGGGGGCGTGTTGTGTGGGGCGTGACTTCTCGAGTGTGAGGTGTTGATCACAAAAGCTAATTGTTCCACAATGTGAATTAAAATTTAAGAGGAGCTTTCTGACCTATTTAGTGGGCTTCCGTATGCAGTGGCGGATCCAGGGGGGCCGTTAATTTTAACTTTGGGGGAGATGGCCCCCCTGGCGCTCAAGGGGGGGGGGGGGTGCGATTTTTCGAGGGCCCAAAAACAAACTTAGTGTTCACTTAGGGTTCCGCGCCTGTCCGTATGATTGAAACTATTCCCAGACCGACAACATAATATCGCACAAACATCAGCTAGGTTTGAGTCGGTGTGACCGAGGTATATGTATTGTTATTATTGTTTCATACCTTATTTGCCCGACTGTTTTGAAACATTCCCCAAGTCTTAAGAGTACTGAATAAGAATTGACATACCAAAAAAAATCTTTTGAAAAAATTATATTATTATTATTGTATTATATATGTAACAAGATTAGAAATATTTCTCATAAATTATGAAGTGTGAGATGCAATGTCATTTAGAAACACATCGCCTTTCAAAGTGGTCGGATCATTTCATCGCATCGGACTCATAAACATTTTTTTTGTCCCTACTTCAAAGAGTTTCGACATGTTCACCCGATTTTTATGGAAATGAAAGGGCGCACATATTTTTTTCTTTAGTTTATAACACACAGGTGCGGTGTCCTTTTTGATAGCGGAAACAAAATCAGGGGTTGCCAAGACACATTCCCCAAACCCCTCCCCTTTTCGTCTAGCCATAGATTCCATCCTCCCCCTTTACATGCATTATTCCTGGATACCCCACTAATGGTATTGTTAATTACCAAACTACTTAGGGATTCACCCCCCCCCCTCCATCCCAAATGAGGGAAAAATCGAAATCGATCCCTCTGAAATATAATTGCACGGGTTAAATTTCTTCACCGAAGCAGGGAGATGTGAGTTTAAACTAACATCTCCCTGACCGAAGTACTCTGCATGCAGTGATCAGGAATCGATTGGTAGCGCGCATTAGTTAATGTTCGTCACGATTTGGGCTTATTGCTACTTAAATGCACTGTACTAGTTCGCCGGGCTATATGATAGCGAAACCAAATCATGGAAGCCAAATATAGATGAACACAATCAATAGAAATGTATTTTGTAAATGTTGGCGTTTCTCTCTCGCGCTCTCTCTCTCTCTCTCTCTCTCTCTCTCTGTGTGACTGTCTTTGTACCATGAAAGACCGAAGATTAAAGAGGTCACATTTTTCGTAATATCCGCTATCGGCTAGCGGCCGCAATACAGCAGTTTAAAATGTACTGGGTAATGTTGAAATCGATGTCTCAATGTATTTCTGTAGAATGAAACAATAATTTGTGTCTTTTTGAAGAAAGTGCCAGTGGCGCCGGAAAAAGTGTGTGTGTGGGGGGAGGGGGGGGGGGGGGTAAATGCATTTTCGCCCTCCCCCACCCCCAAAAAATAAATAAATTAATTAAAAAAAAAAAAAAAAAAAATTAAAAAAAAAAATAGCAACAAAGAATTTAAAATATGGTTTGTACTTTGTTACGAAAAACAAAATAAAAATAATAAAACATTGATTGAATGATAACAAAAACTGTATTCCATTCAAAGAAAAGAACAGTAAACAGTTTTTAAATAAACTAAACATTTCGCATGCCCCTATACTTATCCATGGAGGATTTGATAATAGCGTTACGCACATATCGTGGAAATTTATTGTGAGAGGATGGGAAAGCGTGTGTGTATTTTTATTATAGGGACATGAGCCCCTGAACACTGGCGTACTGATGGGGGGGGGGGGGGGGGGGGGGGTGAGAGGTCAGTTGCCCCCCCCCCCCAAAAAAAGGATTCAAACGTGGTTTATTTCTAAATCGATACCTCCAGTGATTTACAAACGGTGCTGAAATGACATGATTTCCCAGGACCATACAGCTACAACAGAGTTGAGATGGCGCTAGAGGAGAACACAATTGCAGTAGAGCTCCTATTACATTATGGCTTTAAAACAAACAAAATATAAATCAAGGCATAAAAGTAGATCCAGTTTCACCTTATACTTTATATATATATATATATATTTTTTCAGTTTAAAAACTTTTGACATTTCATAACATTGCAGCTTTTAACATACCAACAAGGCAATTTTATATATAATTATATTACAAATGAAATTGATCAAACAAACATAACAATGAGATGTACTTTTGTGAAGTAATTAGTATTTTACATGTGTAATGACATAATGCAAAATGAATTTAACTCAAATATTCAACAACAAAAAATAAAGCCTGCTTGTAGGTAACAACTAAAACAAACTATAAATGACATATTCATTTTAAATCAATCAAATTGGCTGATAAATATTTCCACTTTCACGTTTTTTCTGCCATGCCTGATTTCGAAAAATGAACTTTGAAAACACAATAAAGCAAACTAATCCAAAATTAATCAATTTGGCTTGAAACTTTTCATCAAAATAATTTCTATGCTTTTTATGGAAAAAAACAGTATATCTTTTCGAAACGAACAATTAAAAAAACCTGTTCAGCATTATTTTTATTTGTTAAACAGTGAAGATTGATTTTCACTACCCTGTTTGCACGATATCAAAGCTCACCTTACATTATTTCAGCTAAATAATAGAAGAAAAAAACTTCTCATTCAGGCACATACCAAATATTGAACAAAGATTTGTTCATTTTTAATTTCAAAGAGAAAATCACATTTCTAGAATCTTTATTTTCTGCCCTTTCATATGACACCTCTATCAGGAAAAATAAGCCAGGAGTAAAATAAGTTCATTTTGTTTAAAGTAATGCTTGCATTTCCATAATTTTATTAAACGAATTAGTTCCACGGCTGTCTGCCCTAACAACACAGAAGACGAAAGACTTCATGCACGGCTGATTGTCAATGAAATGGAGTATGTTGTTTGTTGCTACGGCAGGCAGCCAGTGAAAATGACTTTGTTTAATAAAATTATGGAAATGCAGGCAAGCATTACTTAAAATAAACATAGCTTTGTTATTCACCATATAACTCGTTGGTACCCTTTTTTTCAAAATGTTTTCAATCACTCATGCTTGAAATATGTATCATAAAAGTTGCATCAAATAAAAGAGGATCTAAGCTTTACAAATATGTGTCATTTATTAATTATAATTGTGATTAAGTAATGATAAAACATCAATAATTTTCAGTCTCGTTTTTTCTGGGATGCAATGTATATATAATTAGGTCAAATCACAAGCACCTTATTATCAATAAAATGAATCCCCAGAGGTAGATTGAGTGAAAGAACGAGAGAATGAGGTAGAGAAAGAGAGAGAGAGAGAGAGATAGAGATGACAAGATATCACTTGGGGGATATACTCCTCTGAAACTATGTCTGGCTTCATAGAATCCCTCTCTTACATAAGTCTTGGAGGAGATGTGTCAAGAGACAAAATATGTTAAAACTCATTCAAGACGTTTGCTTTTCTGTCCTCTCCTGCCCCTAACCTTATTATTTTAATAAACTAAATCCCAGAGCAATTATCACAGAAGCACATGTAGGATTATCCATGGAGAACATTCAAGTGATTACTAAACATGTCACAATCATACAACCACATACTATATATACCAATTGCTACTGAGATTGTGAGTGCGATAACTCTTTGACACTAACATCCTCCTGGCTTTCAGCAAATAAAGTGATAGTTTGCCAACATTTTGCATCACCTTGCTTAATATCAACACTGTTACAAGCTAAGACATGAGCCAGCAGAACCGCGCTGTTTTTTTTTTTAATGACGAAATATAGTGTACTATGCTTCGAATTTCTGTATCAAATAACACAGAGCTCAGTGAATACACGCAAGTCCTTTGCTGCACGCAGTTGCCTTCATTTACAATTACAAAAACTGTATGTGGCAGCTTGTTTAGCGGCCGTTTACAACGCTATATCTGAATAAGCCTTTACACAGTAGAATACTTAAATATATCAAAAACAGTAATGTAAGAGACCCAAAACCTTTGAGACATACATGATACTTTTCATACATTGTACAGGACAGCAATTTTTGAAGAAAGAAATTTTTGTATACCACAAAAAGGCAGTGTTGCATCATCTTGTAATTAAATTCTTCTGTGGCATAAAACTTAAATGAATCTGAGTTGCACAAAATTTGCAAACAATATATCCAAGAATTCTAGCCTTGGAAACAACTTAAATTCAAAGAAGAAAGAAGCACATGATTCAGCCATTTTTCTAACGTAAAATCCCAAGGCATATTTCAGCTCTCCTTCAAATGTTTGCAATAATACAAATTCAAAAGTAATGTACATAAAAAAAAAAAAAAGTCAATGTGTACTTTTGTTAACCCTTTACAAATTGCACGTCATTTTCTCATCAGTTGTACTGAGGAATGAAATTAATATGGCCATCCTTTAAGAAAGTGACACACTTTTCTCACTAATTTGTTATCTTTCAAAACAAACAATATAATACATTTCAAATATGCTTTGCAGCTAACATAATATATTAATTAAAAACAAAAATATAACATTTACCATAGGTGCAGCACAAAACAAAACTGTTAATGTGTATTGCAATATCATCATAAAATCCCACAGTGAATGAAACATCATTATGAGGGATGACATGTTATAGTACAGAGTAGTAGAAACCCTGGATTAGTGGTCCACCAACACAACCCTGGTCAGTTATGCAGGGAGGAAAGACCCTAGGGTCACATTGATTCAGTTTGCTTTTACCCTCCCAGGCACAGGTGACCCCAAATACTTAATAATAAGAATAATAACAGGCTTCCATTATAACAGAGAAATTTGACTAGCCTACCTACTTTCTATTCCACTGATTCTTAGCCCTGATATTAAAAGGCAACATTTTTTATACCAAACCATCTGTTATAACAATGTTCTACTTTTTTATACAAACATACACAAAACTCGATCTCTGACCTATTTGTACTTTGGTACCTTCAGTAGAGCAATATGAAGCATGAGAGCCCTAAATGGTTCCGCCACAGATTCTTAACAGTGGATGGTACATCAAGGTTGGATATGGATACCCTCAGACAATTTCACCACTGACCTTTCACCACTGACCTTTCACCACTGACCTTTCACCCCTGACCTTCTATCACTTGGGTACCTTCAGAAGACTTGACCCCTGACCTACTTGTACTTTGGTACCCTCAATAGAGCTATACTAGATTCTAGCTGCCACACAGGTCCCAATGAAAATGATATCAAGGTTGCGCTTTGGACATTTGGTACTCTAAGGAGACTTGGCCCCTGTCCTAAATGTTCTTGGATACCCTCAATAGGGCTAGGTTCTAGCTGCCACACAGGTCCCAATGATATATCAAGGTTTTGCTTTAAACAGTTGGTACCTTAAGGAGACTTGACCCCTAATAACCTACATGTACTTTGATATCCTCTGGAGACATGACCCTGTGCTTTGATACCTTTGGAAAACTTGACCCCTGACCTACTTCTATTTGGGTACCCTCTGACGATCTGACCCCAACCTACTTGTGTTTTGGTACCTTAAGTAGAGCTACATACGACAGTGTAAAGAGGATAATCACGATGCATGAGAGAGCTACGTGATTCTGCCATAGATCCCAATTGGAGAATGATATATCCAGGTCAGCCAAGTACTCCTCTCCAGTAATACTGTGTAAGAAATAATTTTTAAACGATAAAGTAATTTTACAACATCATGCTCTGGCAACTATTGCTTCATAGTCAATGTCTAACACAATCCATTGTTGTTTTAACTCAACCCTGGACAAACATAACCCTAGCCCCTAAATCTCCAACCTTAAACCTATCTCATTACCAAATTTCAACTCAGGCCCTAACCTGAAAGCTCAGAGCAAATGTTGCCAGAATAAATAAGAGACTATCAATATCAACTTCATCATTTATTAGAAAATAAGAAAACTCTGAGCTGGTATGGGTTAACTTAACTCCCGCACAATGAATCAAGAAAGGATATAGAATCATTGACTTACCAAATGTCTGTTCCATTCCCTCTACAGAATGTGAGTCCTCTGAATTCGTTGATACTCAAAGCCTGTAATAAATGGTAAAAGATTGAATAAACATATTATGTTTGAAAGAAACAAAACAACTAAATTCTATGAAATTAACTTCATTTTCGTTCTTCCAATGGGCAAATCATTTGTCACCATTTATGCAAAGAATCAGCAAGTTTAGGGCTCTCAAAATTAGTTCAAATGTTTCATGTGCTTTATATGTTCCATGTAATGTATACCTAATTGTATACGTCTTGTGCAACCTCTCATTATGAAATTACGCTGTGTCATGGATCTTGGTTTGAATGATAACTTCTTTGTCCATTTTGTTAAGACTTTTGATTTGAGTATAGATGATACATACTCACCAAAACACACAACAACAGTAAAAACAGAAGAAACAGTAAAAAAAAAAATTATACAAAATTGGTGATCTTTATAAACGACACTCAAATTGATTTTTATTTCTTTCCCATGCACCAGTTACCCGCATACATCAATTATAATATCATGAATATATATAAAATATGTAGATAAGGGACACTTACATTGACAGAATATCGGATAATGCTGAAGTATTTGAGCCACTCCAGCCACACAAGAATAGAAGACGTATTGACAAGAACACCTGCAAATACCTGAAAAGAAAAGAAAAGACAGAAAGAAAGACCAGGGATGAAAGGAATAAATTATAAAAATTATATTTTATTTCTTTTCCAAAATAAAATTGAAATATTTCTACCAGAAAACAGTTTGGTCTCTTCATTGTTGTTATCCATCTCATCTGCACAACTATCTTTCCTCATAGTTCTATTATTCCTCTTCAATTTGATCTCCTCTTCCTCCATTATCTCATTCTATTTCTAGTTAGTTATTATTCAGTTGTTTACATTTCAAAATCCTCTACTGCTCTTGCATACATCTCTTTTTAATACATCTGTGATATATGCATATGTGGCTACTATTAGAATCTTACTTTCTAAACACTTACTTACTACAGAAGAGTTATATAAGCCATAATTTTACGCAAAGGTTATATTTATCGACTTCTGCTCTTCCAGAAACAGAAATGGGTAAAAGAAAGATACACAGATGAACAAAGTGAGAAAGAAGGTGTGAGCAAAGAGAAGAAATAAAGATAGAAAAGAGGAATAGACAGATTCGAGACAGGATATATAGAAGATAGAGGGACAGAGAGAAAGGAAATATAATACGGAAGAGAGAGAGAGAGAGAGATAGAGAGAGAGAAAGAGTGGGGGGGGGGGGGGGTAGGGGGTCCAGAATGCTATACTTACAAACATGATGATGTTGATAGCGGTAATAAAGTTGGTAGCTACGCTAACAATGCCGACCCTAATGGAAAGTAGAAACACCAGTCCAGTACCACAGAATGTAGTGAGCATCAATGTAAATAAGAAGATAAAGAATGCCCCCACTTCTGCACGGAATCCTGCAAACAGACAAGGAATGGAATACTTACGTCACTTTTTTTCTGTATCTGTCATAGAATTCATCTTATTTTATTTGTTCATTCATGTATTCTTTCTTTTTTAATTTATTCATTTATTTATTCATTTACATGTTTACCTATCTATCTATCTCACTATCTATCTACAGATAGATTTCAAATGTTTTTATTATCTATCTCTATACTATATACATATATATATATATATATATATATATATCGTCGGTGGGGTGACAAAACCTTATATCTCAAAAATCATGAATTTTCAGGAGAGCGAAGAAACTTTCCTGTCTCAACAAATTTAGTGCTGTGACGCCGTCCTTTCTTTTTAAAACTGGAATATTTATATGATTTTTAATGTCATTGAGTGGTATTCTCATAAGTTAAGCCGGGACTAAGTCCAGACTAAACAAGAATTTTAGTTCACACTTCTATGGAATATAAGGTTTCATCTTCCTCCTTCAATATTCATGACAAAGATAATCTACCAAAGACTTTTTGGAAATTCAGTTCATACTCATATTATCTTTTTCTTCCCATTTCATTGCAAAATTAATTTTTTTGAGACTTTTCATTGAAGGATTAAAATAATCTGTACAGGATAAATGAGTTAACAGGCGCTCCATAAAAGTGTGGACTAACTTAGTGCGCGCTAACTTAGTACGCGCTACCAGAATACCACCCAATGTTGAAATACAGTAAAATAATTGTTTTTATATTTGAAAGTGAGTTACGAGGTTTTTGCTTTTATCTACATTGAGACAAGAGTTTTTAGTTTTTATTCAAATTGAGATACAAGTTCTTACTTTCAACTCTGAATGAGTTACGAGGATTTGCATAGACTAACTTCGGTACTGTTAGGCCGTGTGTGAGTTACGAGGAAAAGGAATTACGTATCTTATGTTACGACGTTTTGTCAGTGCAGCTTCAAAGGGGGTTAAAGTTACGAGGTTTAGTTTAAGAGTGTTTGTGTGGAATTTGTGAAAACTGAGACAGGAGGCGTTACATGGATTTATCAGGTGGTGTCGTAGGCCATTAGGTACAAAATTATGCAAAAAAAATCAAAATCTCAAAAAATTGAGATACAAGGTTTTGTCACCCCACCGACGATATGTCTTCTTTACTCAGGGTAGCCTACTCATTGATATTGACAATAGTTTCCTTTCGGTCTTATAAACTCTTAAAATGCATTATGACTGATTTGAGTCGATTGCATTTTCTTTGTCTACAACTAAAATTAACATAAGAAAGAGTAAAAAAAATTTCCCAAAACTTAAGCTTTCGTTTGAGGCCTGTTTTCATGAACCGGCTGAGTTTTCACAAACTAAATTGCAAGGGTCAAGAAATAAAGAGAGCTTACCAATCATCCAGTAAAAGATAGTAACAAAAGCGATGGTTGGAATGACTCTCATTGGAATCAGATCACACAAAACCTTGGCGAAGAAATATGATGAGGTCCGATAGAAACCACTGCCTGACTCATGTCTGATGAATACATAAGTGAAAACAGATTAGACAATCATTTTGGAAAAAGAGGTGATATTTAGAGCTGACTTTCTTAACAACATGTCATTGTAGATACCATGACATATTACAAGGTAAAGTCAAATTTTGAAGCCCCATCTTACAAAGAGTGGCGACTGATCCAAATCAATTTAACTTGATTTGAGATTGATATCGATCACAACTCTGTTCATAAGTAAAACGCAATTGTAACTTTTTGTTTCACTTACAATCAATTCTAATGGACCGTAATTTTGTATAAGATCTGGCGGTGATGACAGAAAAGAAATTCTCACAAAATGATTCTTACAAAAGCAGTATTTAAAAGTAATATCTACTTCTGTAATATTTTAAGTACTTTACATCAACCAAATATTCATGGAATTGTCATTTTCAAATATTCAATTATCTAGAGAAGTTTATTTACTTTTATTTAAATAAATATGGCATATAAACTGACTTTAGGTAGCAGTTGTTTCAATTTATCGTCTGCTATTTTGTTGACTTCATGTATTTTATTCTCTTCTCAATTAAACATGTAAAAACAGCCCTGACTTTCTGTCAAAACAAGGATACCTAATCATAAAGAGCAAAAGAAATTTGATAGTTGGACGTTAAAAGATGGGAGTTGCTGCTACCTTGTTTGGCGTTCAAAAATAAGGGATAGAGCAACGTCGATCTGGTGCTGCTCAGTGGCTGCCGGGCTCACGATCAATTGGGCAAAAAGAATTTCCGTTTTGGTTTGATAAAATTTGGAGTGGACTTTAAAAGATTATTATTATTATTATTTTTATTATCATAAAACTCACATGAATATTTTGCGTTCAGCAATGAAGAGCTCCAACGCACCCATATTGCTGAAGACCATGAAGATACTAGCGAACAAGAAGGCCCCGGTCCTGGACAATAGAAAACATTGTACCAAAAATTTACAGAATAATTGATATACCCATCATTAAAGGTAATACAAAGTCTTGGAAATTTTGAAAATTGGGTGGATATAGTGATTCTTTACAATTTTGATATATTTGAATGCCCCTGTGGATGTATTATAAGCACTAGAAAATTTAGCCCCTAAAACACTTCTGCTTTCGAGAAAAATTGAATTGAATTTTGATAATTTCAAATAGCGCCTACGGCCGTACAATTGTAGCTGCGACCATGAAAATCTCAGAATATGTAGTTGTGATATATATTTTTAAGCGAGAAGAGCTAATCGGTCGATTCTAGACAAGAAGCATTGTTTTATAGCTTAATTAATATCTTGAACTTAAGAGGGAGCTATACAACATGAAGAGTTTATTATTTACAATTTCATAACGTTAGACTCGATTTCAACCGCGACAACGATCACTGAATATTTTAGGATTGCATATGCTTCCAATATGTTCATTTGAACCAAAATTTATGACCCCATACCAAAACTTTGTATTACCTTTAATCCAGGCCTTCTCAACTAGTTTATTAGAAGTGCCAAAATGAAAAGAATTTGTAATTGAAGCGCCATCCTATATAGTTGACTGTGCTGCGAGGGAGCGTAGCGACCGAGCCGAAAATGGGTGGGGTCATGGGGCAAAGCCCTAACGGGGGTAGCAGGGGGTGGGGCCCCCTGAAGCTGGTGGATCTAGGGCTTTTCAAAGGCCCAAATGGGGCATTTTCAACACCATTTCATTCCACAATATATAATCAATCATAATTTCTTATTGAAAAAAAAATAAGTACGATTCCTGGGTACAATTACACCGGAGGTATATTTATATGCATTTTTTGTGTGCAATAAACACGGGAAATGTCAAAATAAAGTGAAAATCAAACAAACAAAAACAAGTTGTTTCCAAAGATTGGCAATGTTAAAATTGGTATCCCATCGTAAGCTAATTGTTGTTTATACCTTAGGTTTAGATTTGTATAAAATGGTAAAATTTGGGGCTCAAATTCGACTGCAACTTCTTGATTTAGCTGAGTATTTAATTCTAAAATAAATATTTTCTTTCTTTCTGTTTTTTGTTTTGTTGATGCAACAGTCGCGCGCCACTCCGACTGACCGCAAGCGCCACAAGTGGCGCGCGCGCCGCCAGTTGAGAAGGCCTGCTTTAATCCAATAACGATATGAATCAAGGCAGCCATATTGCTGAAGATGATCAAGATACTAGCAAAGAAGAGGGCACCAGCCCTAAACAATACAAAACATTGTACCAAACTAACTACAGAATAATTGATGTGCCCATCATTAAGCCAATAACGAACATATATGAACTGATTATTAATAAGCTTAATAAGTCCAAACACATTGTTCAACATTTCAAGTTGGGCAAGATTTTACATCCAGAGCATTAAGGATGAAATGAACATATCTACAAGTAATACACTCTATACACACAAAATAAGTCCTACTGACCGCACAGTAAAACCTGCATAAACGACCATCTTTGTAACAACAAAAAAAGACCACCTGTCTATAAAGACCCCATTTTTATGTTTCCCTTGCCAATTGCTTCTCATAGGAACCTGTTCATAAAGTAAAGACCTGCCTATAAAGACCACTTTTCTGGCCACCCTTGAGTGGTCTTTGTATACAGGTTTCACTGTATTACCTGTTTTGAGTTCCGGATGGAAAGGAGGTGTCCACCTGGAAATACACAAAGCCCAACACAATCGCAAAGAAGGAGGACATGACGAACTGGGATTAACAAACAAAAAAAGAAATGTACAGAATAGCTAAGTTTGTAGGTAATGGTCTATTTCATGACTTGGGGGGGGGGGGGGGGGGGGAGGGGGTCAGAAATAAAAAAAAGAGTAGTTAAGTTTGTATGTAATGATCAATTCAATGACTGGGGGGGGGGGGGGCAGAAATAAAAAGAGAAGTTCAGTTTGTATGTAATGATCAATTCAATGACTGGGGGGGGGGCAGAAATAAAAAGAGGAGTTCAGTTTGTATGTAATGATCAATTCAATGACTGGGGGGGGGGGCAGAAATAAAAAGAGGAGTTCAGTTTGTATGTAATGATCAATTCAATGACTGGGGGGGGGGGGGAGAAATAAAAAGAGAAGTTTAGTTTGTATATATTGATAAATTCAATGACTGGGGGGGGGGGCAGAAATAAAAAGAGGAGTTTAGTTTGTATGTAATGATCAATTCAATGACTGGGGGGGGGGCAGAAATAAAAAGAGGAGTTCAGTTTGATCAATTCAATGACTGGGGGCCGGGGACAATGATGGATGAAGTATGTTGAGAATTGGGAGGAGTAAAAAAAGTAATTGATCATTCTTAGAGCATACAATACAAACAACAATAACCCCAGGTTGTTGTTGTTGTTGTGTGTCTTTTTTTTTGGGGGGGGGGGGGGGTTGGGGGAGGTTTGAAAACATGGTAAATTTACCTTCGTTAAGTGCCATCAAAACTGTACCTGTACTGATCTGTAATACATGTATTACAGATCAGTACAGCTTGTATAGTTATCAAAAGATATTCAGGATATTTAGGGGGTGGGGGCATGGGCAAGCACATTAATTAAATTATGACGGGTGGAAAACTACCCCCTTACAATTGATGCCCCTGTTATGGATTAGGCAGAGCTGATAGTAATGTAAGATAATTTAAGGCACTGAGAAATACCCCTACTTATAGAATAGCATTTCACTAATTTTCCCCCCCAATTTTTTCTGGCAATTTTCTTAAAGTAGTGCAGATCTAAAAAAATTATTGAGAATAATACATATTTATTTCACCCTACAAAGAGAATCACATAATTGTCTGAATATCAACATAAGTCTAAAACATACATGTTCTTTTCATTCTTAAGGTACCTTCACTGTTTCTATGAAACATACTTTATCAATATTTTTTCCAGTACTCGATATGATATTATAACATCAAATTCAAAGAAATTATAATCCACAAATAAAATCCCTTTTTTTGCAAAGTTGATATCTGAAAACCAACTACATGACTCCTTGGGGTGTTTCACAAATATACTAAGTTGAACCTATCTCTAAGTTGGAGATAGCAATTATGGAAAGCCGTAATGGCATCTATGAAAATATTTTGTAAAAGTTATTTTAAATTGCATAAAACGTTGATTCAAATCATCCATATTTTCTATCATCAAGGAGATTTCATGTTCTTGATGTGGAATATAAAGAGTCTAAAATACTTGAATTTTCGCTTCTGAATATATTTTATTTCAAGGCTACAAAAGGCTCTCCATAATGTTTAAGTCCAATTAACTTAGAGTTAAGTTTGACTTAGGATCTTTGTGAAACAACCCCGGTAATAAGTGTATGGGAATGAGATAATTCAGTAGTCGATCAATGGGTTCAAATTCTTGGTGTTCAGAAAAGACAAAAATTTATGTAGATATATTCAAAGAATAGAAAGTGTGTCGTCAAATTACCGGTACAACTGAAACTTGAATACTCCTTTTATAATTGATAGCGGCTCTCTTGGCTACCACAGTGACCTGTATGATACAAAAAACAAAAAAAATATTTCAATGAATTAGCTTTCATAATCGTCTTCCTAAAGTATAAGAAATGTATAAAATCATGATGTATGCTTGCATGAACACTCACAAATAATAATAATAATAATAGGCATTTCAATAGCACCGTCTAGCTAGAAATTCTATTCTGAGGCGCATATATTATTACCCTGGCTTTAGCCTAGCTAGCTGCCATTACAGCGCTCCAGCATTTCAAGGAATTAATTCATGCCAGGTACCCATTTACATCACCTGGGTTGAGTGTGGCAAATGTAGATCAATGTCTTGCCAAAGGACATTAATGCCATAAATCCTCCACAATCACTTTCTTACACAAGTGAATTCTAAACTTCAACCCTGGACGGTACCCAAGCTATACCTAACCCTAACCCTAATCAAAAACTCAATTGTAATGAATCAAAGCAACAGCCATTAAAGTAGTCCCCCCCCCCCCCAAAATCAAAAGTGTTTTGAATCGATGCAAAGTTCATATCATTGCGAAGGGGAAGCTTTACTGATCAAATATAACAACTTCCCTCTTCATCTCTAAAAAATGTTAATTTGAGATCCAGATTTTCTGCAATCAATCATGCGAGACACAGCTAGCCACATAGCATTTGACGCCTTCCCCTGATATCTATATGATTTTTCTGCAAATTATTAATGTTTTTAGGAAAAAATCTTTCCATCCATATGTAATTTGTCCATAAATATCAGTTGTCGTGAATTTTCTTCGGGTGACTATACTTAAAAGAAAGTGTCGCTGTAGAATTGAATTCTGGAGATTGTCAGGACAAATGTCATCAAAACAAAGCCATCATAATCATGTTGCTGACAGATGTTGTAAGAATAAATGTTGTTTAAGCAAACTTTGCCAGAACACATTGTTGCTAATGAGGCAACATTCAGATCATCAGTACTAACCTGAGTAAAGAATCCTGTTGCATAATCATAGTCTGGTAGACCGACTATCCCGGGGTTGTTATCATGTAGCTTGATAATCTCTGCTGCTTTCTCTTCCACTTCACGATGGAAACGAGACGTCTTGTAGGACTGTGTAAGGTTTGTTGATGCGGTGGATGTGGTATTGTTCATCTCGGTGCTAATTCTGCCCTCTTCTACAGGGTTTGGAAACAGAGAAGCCAAAGTCAAAATGATACACCACAGTGGTACATTATAATACAGCAAAATGAAACTGTTCTTGAATAGCACATGAGTCAAGTCAATAAATTACAATACCATGAATTAATCTGCCAAATACATCTTTGAGACAAAGACAGTTGATATATCAGTGTTACAGAATACCGGCACACCCATTTTTGGACTACCAAAGAACATGTACCCCAAGGGCAACTACCCCGGCCCCCCCCCCCTCCTAACATTCACCCCACAGAATACCTCTCCCTCCCAACCATATAGGTGTTATATATATGTGCATATTTATATTAAAAAGGTGTTATCTATATAGGCATCATTTTTCAAAGAAGGGCTAGGGCTTGGAGGATAGGCTTCAGGTTTCAGGTATGGCTGGAGGGTTACATAGAGCTGGGTCCAGGGTTAAACTTAAGAACTCGCCTCGTAAGGGAAACTGACTCCAGAGCAATTTTTGCCAACTGTTGCACACATGTATGTTGTACAATCCAGAATAGATCGTGACTGCAGTAATGATTTATTATTTAGCTTCTGCTTATATTATCTGATTTCAAGTTTCGGTTCATTCTTGATATCTGCAAGACGAAAAGGTTTACTGTTTCTTTTTTCGTTGCTATTGTTCGATTTTGTTGTACCAATCATCTCTTAAGTAATGACTTAACTTGCTTTTAAATTAACTTGGCGTATTCATATCCATCTATATGTATGCATTTATTTGTCTGTCGGACATACCAAGTTTGATGGATGAATTGCTTTCAGGATCTTGTTCTATAGAGGGCGCTGCAGTAGCATTCTTCATAATCACGTCGAGAAAGAAATCAGGAGGATTGTTGTGGGCTTCACACTCAAAACCTGCCAAAGAAATGTAAAGTAAAACATATTTATTATTGGTTTCAACATACCATACATTTCCCACATTCCATGAGCTTTAAGAACATGCAACAAACTGCACTTTTCTCACACATACTGGCCTACCAGTATCTATAATAACAATAATAATTATACATTTATAGAGCGCAGAAACTATCCAACATTAAGTATATATTCAACTCCGCTACAAGAGCTCTTGATATGCTTAGATTTACAGTTAATTGAAAAGTTTGGCAGTTCAAGCTAGACTCAGACTCCAGCATACAAATATAATAAAATATGTGTCTGATCAGTTATTCTAACTGTATCATTTCTGATGGCTTAGGATTAGGAGTTACTTATGACTTTCTTTGATTTATCCACTGCAAATTTTCACTAATTCAGTAGTTCATTCAGTTGTATCACTTCTAACCGTTCCACTGCTGTAGGCCTAGCTGCCAACATTTTGATAAAGCATATATTTTGGGGTAAAGGAAAGCTTTATGGTTAGTTACCAATAGAGGAGAAGTAGTCCATGGAATCTTGGGCCGGACCATGGTAGACTGTCTCTCCTTTGGACAACAGATGGAGTGTGTCAAAGAGACGAAAGATGGTAAACCTTGGCTGATGGATGGAGAAGATGATAGCACGCCCTTGCTTGGATAATCTGAGAAAGTGGAGGCACATAAATGATTAATGCATACTTAATTGATTAAAATTTGCTTTGCATCACAAGTTTGAATAAGTGATCTCTTTTTTAAAAATCTGTCTGTCTGTCTGACTCTCTGTCTCTATATCTGTCTCTCTCTCTGTCTCTCTCTGTCTCTCTCTCTCTCTCTCTCTCTCTCTCCCTCTTTCTGTGATATATCCATAGATTCTAAAGAAAATATAAAAACCTGTTGAATGAAATTTTTTTTACAAATTTCCAGTAACAAGACTGAATATAACATATTAAAGAGGCTGTAGCATGGCAAATACTGGTTAACGCCATCTACGACTACTTTTGGACAACTGCACATAAACGAATGGACTTGATTAACTGGGTCAGTGCATGCTAGCATTATCATCACCACCATCATCATCATACGACTGTACATACATGGCAAGCTGATTCATGACAGTATACGCAGTGTTAGCATCCAGACCAGTTGTAGGTTCATCAAGGAACAGAACAGTTGGTCCAATAACAAGCTCCATACCGATGTTGGTTCGTTTACGCTCTCCTCCCGAAACACCACGTATGAACATAGACCCAATCTGTAATGAAGTCAAAGATGAAGACAGGATAATTAAAGGGGCGATTCTTTTAACCTCTTTCATTGATGCATGAACAAGGTTTAAAGGCTGTCTGATATAAGAAGATTGATGTATATTTATATGCTTTTCAGTTGCAACACTATATAATTCTGCACCCGAGACAATATTGTCCCATATCATCACTATCATCCTCCACTAATTACTTGTTTAAATGTAAGGATAGTGTGACTAACTTTTTCTAATTAATATCATTTCATTCTGTTGTTTAAATCAACACAAATTACCTGATAACCAGACACAGTACACCATATCTCTTATAATGATTTTTTCCCCCACTATAATTATCACACTTCCTAAAGTACTAGTGTACATGGCCTATGGACATGTATGTACTGCTTAGAAAATTCAAAATCATCATAGGCACGAATCTGAAAATGAAGTGGAGCTTACAATGCTTTGGACCTGATTGCACAATGCTGAACGATTGCACACATTAGATGAGATCTACAAAAGGGACAATAGTCTGTTTGGAATGTGTTGCGTTATATTTCTACAAAGGGAGGTCAGGGTCAAATGTAAGATGACGTCAGCTCTAGATGAGGTGCAGATTTTCTAGCTAGGAATCTACTGAACCACACGCTCCAGGGTTATTATTACAGGAAGTATTAATCAACTGAAAGCAATAAGACTACAGAGCATATGATATGAATATGTCTACCATATGTGACCCTACAGCTTACCAATATAATCAAAGTCTCAAATTATCAAACAAGGGAGCAAATGTGGAAAAGGGGAACAGTATTATTTCCCTAAACAAACTTTATTGATTGCTCTTGTCATGGAAAATTATCTCCCATTCTCCTACGACGCCAGATCCGATCGTTCTCCCTCGATCTGTTCTTCTTCCTTCTTTTCTTGCTCTCTCTCTCTCTCCCCCATTGGATCCCTCCCCCTTCCCGCTCCTCCTCCCTCCCTCTCTCTATCTATTTCCCCCTCTCCCCCTGATCCCTCCCCTCCCTCTGATCCCTCCCTCTGATCCCTCCCTTAGTCCCTCCTCCTCCCTCCATCTTTTTATATCCCCCTCTCCCCCTCTCCATCTATCTCACCCTCTCCCCTTGCCCCGCCTATCCCTCCCTGAATTTCTTCTCCTCCTCCCCTCTTTTTCTCTGCATCTCCGCAATTTCAAATCGTTATTTGTTGTTGATGTTTTATTAAAAGTGGCACAAGGTATTTAGAAGAAATGGTGGTTAAAACAATATGTTCAAGATTGAAAAAATTATTGATGAAAACAAACCTCAATTTGATGATCTCTCTTCTAGCTGTAACCCCTAATATTTACCTAAATTCCACAGCCAATAAAACATAATTTGCAAGGAAGCACAGCTATCTTGGCATCTCAATTATTAGTTGATGAGAACAAAATCTCAATCCCTACTGTTTATACCCCTCTTATAGTTCATCAAACCTTTAGAACTAATTATTACCCGTATCTGACATCTGAGCAGTGGTTTAAAAAAAATCATATTATACTTGTTTGTAATCCTAAAAGAGCTATAATCAGTAAATATGAGACCATATTACCCTTTCATGAAAAAGCCTATGGACTTTACGTGTTAAGAAAGCAGGAAATATAGTCTCATATTCATCGCGCCGTATTATGTCATTTTCATTGCGCATCTATTATGCGTACGAGAACCTGTGCACTTTGCGCGCACTCTATTGTGACGTATTAATCACACCAAAGGCACACACTGTTTGCAGTGTATCGAAAATTTTGTCAAGCACTGGATGCACAGTGCTAGCTGGTTTGACAAAGTTTTTTCAGTTCTATGAGATTGTCATGTATGTATTTGCTCTAGATGTCTGATTTGGATAATAATAACAATATTGACTGGCTTAACTTTTGGGAGATACCACATATATTGCCCTCACAAGACCCATATTGCCCTCGTCTTTGACTCGGGGCAATATGAATCTAGTTTTGGAAATATTATGTGGTATCTCCTCAAGGCCAGTCCATACCCACTATTAAATGAAGTATCCCTGCAAATATTCAATTTATCCTCACAATCATTCCTTCTCTTTTTCTTCTTCTATCAATCCATCTTTCCCCCCCTCTCTCTCTCTCTCTCTCTCTCTCTCTTCTGTCATGTTTTCATAACTTCACTACTCACCTTTGTATCCTTGCAGTCATCCAGACCAAGCACATGAATGACTTCATCCACGCGTTCTTTCTTCTCCTTCAGAGATACCGTAGAGGGCAGACGGAGGGCAGCAGAGAAAGCAAGATTCTCTCTCACCGTCAAGGTTCCCATGACGACATCATCCTAAGTGAACACAAAAATGAGATACTGGGTAAAAGCTTACTACCACTGAGACAATTAGGTAATACAAGATCATTGAAATCAAATCTAAATGATATATGATAATAATAATAATGGGTTCTTGTATAGCGCTCATATCTGTCAGATTTGAAACTCCTGGCCCTCCATATTTATTACCCTAGCTGGCTTTAGCCATTACGGCTCTCTAGCATTTCAAAAAATTAATTCCTGCCAGGTACCCACTTAAATCACCTGGGTCAAATGTGGCAAATGTAGATTAAAGTCTTGCCAATTGACAATGTCATCTCATGATTAGTAAGGAAATTTGATTGACAACAATCCAACTTATTATAAATATGTTAGCAGAAAACTATTCGAATACAACATTCAGCCTCTAACAAATGAAGCAAAGTACGTTAAAGGTAATACAAGGTTTGGGTAAGGGGTCATGAATTTGGTTATGCGATCCTTCAATATTCAGTGATCGTTGTCGCGGTTGAAATCGAGTCTAATGTGATGAAATTATAAATAATAAACTTTTAATGTTGTATAGCTCCCTCTCAAGGTCAAGATAATTAAGTTAGCTATAAAACAATGTTTCTTGACTATCGACTGATTGGCTATTCCCCGTTTGGAAATTATATATCACAACTACATATTATGAGATTTTCATGGTTGCAGCTACCATTGTTTGGCCGTAGGCGCTATTTGAAATTCATCAAAATTTACCGGGAGCACCGGTAAATTTGTATTATTCAAATTTCTCGAAAGCAGAAGTGTTTAGGGGCTAAATTTTCTAGTGCTTATAATACATCCACAGGGGCATCCAAATATATGAATATTGTAAAGAATCACTATCCACCCAATTTTCAGAATTTCCCAAAACTTTGTATTACCTTTAAACCACATTTCACAACAAAAAGTCAAAATACAAACTATTTCACTTGTTATATGTGTGATTCCTCGCTTTCACATAGAAAACTTAAGCAAAAACTAAAGAAGAATCCAAATCTGCAAAAATAATGTGTAAATCCTTCTAACTTAATGCACTTCAAATACAATATACATAAAGACTGAGGAAATAATTCTGAACGAAATTCATCTCTTTATTATTTTGGTATACACATATAAAATCCTTGATGAAAAATGACCTGGTGTGAACAGTACCTGAAGAACATATCCAGAGCAGCACTTGAAGTTTCTTGGCAGGTCATTCCCATTAATCAAGACTTCTCCTCTCACTCCGCTCTTCTCTTTTCTGCCAGCCAGGATGTCTAGTAAACTAAACAAATTTAAAACTGAGAATTAAAAAAAAATAGTCATTCATGTAAATTATAGGTATTCTAATAAAATGCAAAAAGTTAAAAAGAAGGGTACTTGCCTCGCGCTTGAACTGTAGGAATATACGAGTCTTAATATTATTGGGAAAGGATGTTAACTGAAGTACTTTTTTTTTTTTTTTTTTTTAAATTTTGTTTTAAATTTTGTTTTAATTTTCATTTTTAATTTTGTTTAAATAAAAATATGAGGGCACTGCAAGAGCAACATTGACATTGGAACTATGATACAGTGAAACCTGCTTTAGCGACCACCTGCCTATAAAGACCATTATTCTTGTCTCCCTTGAGTGATCTTTATATACAGGTTTCCCTGTAGTAGCAAGGGGGTAAGGTTTGAAGAAAGCATTGTTTAAGGCAACCATTAACTGGCTGTTTTCTAGGCTGTTTCAGCCTTCTGCACAGAGGAAGAGAGAAAGCTCACAAATTATTTTATTCATCTTTATTTTAAATCAACCTTCCCCTTTCATTTTTATTCCTTGCTTAATTGCCATCCTTGACCTTCATAAGTTAAAGTCAATATTGAAGGGATGGAGATCTAATTATCTGTCTATTGATCCTTCATCGTAGTTCAGCTAATTAAAAGTCAGCCTAATGTGCAGTACATGTATACCAGCACCTGCAAATATAATAATAATATTCATGGTTATTTATACTGCGCTATTCATAAGAAGTACCGTATGGCTTAATACAATGTCAGAAACATATAGGAAAAAGACACACACAAACTAGCTCTGTGGAAAAAGGATGGGTCTTCAGTTTTTTTTAAAATGGAGTATGGTATATTATTCCAGATTTTAGAAGTATTTACACTATATTGTTTATTAGCAGTGGAGAGAGCAAAATTACAAGTCTACAAGTTTCAATTATACTGTAGATTGAAGATTTCTGTATCATTAAATGAATCTTTTCATGCAAAATAATTGAGATTTTTTAACGTGTGTTTTTTTGTTATTGTTTTGGGGGCGCTTTTTTTATTGCTTGCTTGTTTGTTTGTTTGAAATAAATGAATACTTCCAAACTGCTATATACAATGTATGGGCACCAAGATGGGACCAAGATGGGACCAAGATGGGACCAGCTTATGCATGCCTCTTCGTTGGGCACATCGAGGAGCAAATGCTACAGAATTATCAACATCCTAAACCGGTTCTCCTGAAGCGTTACATCGACGATTACGTAGGCGTGTTCACGAGCACTAGAGACGAACTAGAGAGGTTCATCCAGTACGTGAATAGTTATCATCGATCACTGCGTTTCACTCATGACATCTCAGATGAGTCTATAACATTTCTCGATGTTACAGTCAGTGTGGAGGGTGACACTCTTGCGACTGATATTCACTACAAACCTACGGACTCGCATTCATATCTCAGGTTCGACTCTTGTCATCCCCCATCATGTAAGAAGGCCATCCCCTTTTCACAATTTCTGAGACTAAGACGAATTTGCAGCGACGACACTAATTTCAAGTCAAGAGCGAAGGAGATGAGAACTTTCTTCTCTGACAGAGGCTATCCCGACAAGATCGTCGAAGGGGGAATGATGAAGGCTAGCCGAATCACACAACATGACGCTCTGACTAAGAGACGTAAGGATTCTAATTCCCGCACCTCTCTTGTACTCACGTACAACCATACATCTCAGCGAATTGCTAAGGCCGTACGTGAAAACATCAACATCCTCCGGGCTGACGAGACGACTCTTAGTGTATTTGGGGCCAACCCATTCATCACGGCGTACCGGAGGGGGAAGAACATCAAAAACGAACTTGTCTGCTCAAGACTTCCCAGTCAGATACCCCACAGCATCACTAATCCTGGTACCACTCGGTGTAAGCGTCCTCGTTGCAAGACCTGCGCCCATGTCTCATCCCATGATGTGGTGGGCCCCAGAGGAACTTGGCATATCAGAGGAGAATTCACATGTACCACCACTAATGTCATTTACGGATTGACATGTACCCGCTGTTCCATGGTGTACATCGGGGAGACAAAGAGACGCCTAGCCGATAGAATCACGGAGCATCTGCGTTCCATATGCCTGAAGACAGCCGGACTACCTGTAGCTCACCACTTCAACATCGGAGATCATAATGCTGATGACCTTCAAGTATGTGTGCTGAAATCTTGCCGAGATGAGAAAGAAAGGAAGCTGATGGAGGAGAGGATAATCTTCAAACTTGGCACTCTCCACCCAGACGGGATGAACGCCACTTTCAGATCTTTCCCTAACTCACACTGAACTTTGTTGAACTTTAATATTTTTATTACGTCATAATGCTTTTTCAATTGCTTATTTTTCTTTCTGTGCGCCTCTTCTTTTCCTTTTCTTTTGCTTTCCGCGTATCTCCCCTGGAGATACGCTCTTCTAACGCTCCCTATATTTCTAATTTTCTCCTATTTTCTCACGTCACAATGGTCCAACTTTTGAGCTTTGTGACGTTTCTCTATCTCTTTTTCTCTTCTTTCGCGTACTCTCACGCGCCTTTGCATCTTGACTACCAAGCGTCGCCTATATATTTTTGATTTTGTATATTGTTTTTCATGCTTGAATCACTTCGATAAAGGGCTATGCCCGAAACGTCAGTGGAATATTCACTTCTCCGGTGTTTTTATTTATCTACCTTGTGTCCTATTCATTTTATGCACCGACGCAAAACCATTTATTTTTACATTATATATATATATATATATATATATATATACAGTGAAAGTACAAAATGGATAGACAATGTGGAATGGTTGAAAACAAAACAATGCAAAAACTTGCACAAGCTCATCATATTCTTACGTTACAAAAAGTTCTGAATATAGGAGTCCTTGTGCCTTTTTTTAAATTGCTTCAGCAATAATTTCTTTTTGATCAATATCCTTCAATATCCAAATGCTATACCTTGATTCAACCCCAACCTCAAACCTAACTGCAACCCTATATTTACCAATCTTTGGCATTAAAGCCCTTTGCAATTGCTACTTGGCATATAACTCAGTGAAACTCTGTGACGACACTTATTGCTTTCATAACAATTTAAGCAGGAAACCCACTCAGTATATTGCCCCATTGCATAAGATTATATTTTTTTTAATTTTGACCTGATTTTAGAGCAGACTTCAGTACACATTATATGAACTTTATTCCACAGCGATAAAGTGTATGCTTGTATGAAGCCATTGTATGGAAAGTTTGTTAACCTTGAACAATTGAAGCCCAGCCTTGCAATCATCCTCCTTTACAAAGTTCTGACAATTATGATCTCTCGTACCTGTGACCTACTTCTTCTTTACAAAAGTTCCAATCAAGCAAAACTCAGGAGTCTTTGTACTTTATGTCATACAAACACCTACCTCTGTAGCAATATATAAAACGATCACTATCAAAATCATAGGCATGTAACAGTTATCCATATAACAAACTGGTTCATATTTCATATTGCCCACAAATCTTAGTGGCATAGTAGGGGTTTAAAAAAAAAAGGGTTTCAGAACTTGCATGAATGCAATAATCTTTAGTTTATTTTTGGTTTTCCCAGCCAATTTTCGCAACTTTGCCAATCTGATTCAGAACGTTCAGATTTGCATTGAGTTTAAACTCATTGTGATGACGATTACAGGAATTTAGATGTAGGTTATGAGCATAGAATTCAAGGAGAATATACTGGTGTAGAACATTGGGCCGGACCAATACTATACTATAGAATATACTGGTATATGAGTGTGTGTGTGTTATCAGATTTTACTCAAACTTTTTTTGATTGGTTTGTCTGATTTTTCTGCTTCTATTGAAAGTAAGTTATTTTTTTGGAGTGGACTTGCCCTTTCAGCTAACCCCTTCCTAATAAAATTACAAATAATCAGGTGGGCTGTATATAATACAGAACACCTTATGTTTTCGTTAGAATATTTTTCTTATTTTGACCCACTTTTTTGTTAGCAGGATAACTTGAAAATGGCTCAATCAATTGCCTTGAAATTTGGCACACATATTTATTGGCATGAGGAAAGAGCACAGTAAGGTTTTCAACCTTGACCTTGACTGAAAACGTTATCTAGGCGCCATTTTGTGAAAATCAACATATGATCATATCTTCATAACGGAAAGTTTTTTCTCATTCATATTTATCATGATCAACGTCAATATCAGTCCGGTCAATTTCAGGTCCAAAAACGCGCGCGTACGCCATTATTAGCAATGGCATTTTATAAAGAGTCGCGCGCACGCGCGTTTTCGTTTGTCACGGCCGAACGCAAAATAATTCCTCCCGGGTATCTTTTGACACAGTATTCCTCATATTTTTCCGAACAATTTGATACAATGTTTATCTCCTTACGACCATTATTAAGGGAATGAGCGTCCGTTCAAGATAAATGTCTGTGTGCGCGAACTCTTGTAATACATAGCATATATGGGCAACAACATGCCTATATAAAACCCTTATGGCTCTTTGGAATGGACGGGAACCCTCAATTTTTGTTCATATTCGGATAGAGTATGAGTGGGAGATGTGATTTCATGTCTCATTTGGCCATTAAGTATATCGTGTCATCATCATATTGACCTTGGAACTCAAAATACGAATTTGCATATTATGACGTCAGCATATTTATGGAAAAATTGATTGTATCTCTGTAAATATTTATTGAATCTCTTCCTAATGTTGATATCTTGTAGTTGAGGCGATTGTCTACAAGATCACTGCACATTATTTTTCATTTTGATGACGTCATCATAGTGAAAATTGCGATTAAAGCTAACTGGACAGATTTTCTTAATTTGCGTGTTAAGCCTATGGGAGGTGCCAATTTCGTTCAAATCATGGATCTACATGACATTAATCTTTGAGCCCTATCTAGCTCATTTGTGCTCTATGTTCTCCCAAATTTTGGTATGTTATAGCTGAGACTATGGGCTATAAAAGTTGTGCCTTTTGTGTTTTAATCAGATGGTGGGATCATGTCAACATTTTCAATTGAATGTTAAATTTGCAAATTCTGTAGAACATTGTAGAAATTATGCATATGTCATATGTTTGTCCTATTTGTGAAATTTAAACGTTAGCAATTTTAAAATGCTCAAAATCACTTTTTAATCAAAACAGAGTATGTTCTAGGCCATTTAAAGCATTTCGAAAATTATGAATGCTCGTTTTTGCGTGTAACGCCATTACACAACAAAGAAACGCTATTTTTTTTCTTTCATGATATTTTATAACGGAATGCGCGACCGTTTAAGATAAATGGCCGTGCGCACGGGAACATGTAATACATAGCATATATGGGCAAAAACATGCCTATACAAAATCCATTATAGCTCTTTAGAATGAACCTTGACCTTCAATTTTTTTCATAATTAGATAAGAGTATGAGTTGGAGATATGATTCCATGTCTAATTTGGCCATTAAGTGTATCATGACATCATCATAATGGCCTTGGAACTCAAAATACGAATATGCATTTTATGAAGTCAGCATATTATTTTATGTAAAATTGATTGTATCTCTTTAAATATTGATCGATTTTCTTCCAAATTTCGTTATGTTGTAGCTAAGACAATTTTCTACAAGCTTAGTTGTCACTATTTTTCATATTGATCACGTCATCATAGTGGAAATTACGATTAAAGGGCACATATCAGAAATTGCTTAAGTTGCGTGGTATGCCTATGGAAGGTGAATTTCGTTCACATCATTAATCTACATGACATTGTTTTTTAGCAGTATCTCGCTTATTTTTGCTCTATTTTGTGTCAAATTTTAGTAGACCAGCCCACCTATACTTGTTCCAAACAAGTATTATATGTCTAGTTAAATCTCTTTTTTAAATGCAGCTGAAAAAAAAATCAATTGGAAGATGTGGTTGAAAAGGACCAACCTACTTGGCCTCCCCCTCACCCCCGCCCCCTTGCCCCCTCCTTCTGCCCCCTCCCTCAAAATAACAATTATACTACTAATAATGTCAAACTTTTGACTACAATTGGGGTACTTACGATGTTTTACCGCTTCCAGTAGGTCCCATGATGGCATTCATACCTGCTTCAAAGACTCCTCTGAAATGAAAATAACAGTTGGGAAAAAAAAATTAATTCTATTACACAGCATTGTATTCTTCTATTCTAGGGAAGACCCAAGGGTCACAGCTTGCATTGAGTTTAATATCAACTACTTTAAAGTGTGCCAATCACCTATATCAAAACACCTGTGTACAGCTAGAATGTATAAAATCACAATTGAAAAAATAAAAAACTTTGACATGCATTATGTGGGCTAATGGATTTAAAAGGAGAATGAAGAAATAAAGAATAGAATATTACCCTGCAGGCCCTATTTTATGTGGACGTGTGCAGATATGTTGAGTAGGCAACTCCCAAGGCACTTTTATGTTAACACAGAGTGTAATAAACTAAAAATATCTCTTAACAGATTACTTGAAGCTCATATTTTTAATATTACCACATGATAGAACTTAAAGGTATTACAAAGTTTTGGTATGTGGTCATGAATTTTGTTCAAATGAACATATTGGAAGCATATACGATCCTACAATATTCAGTGATCGTTGTTGCAGTTGAAATCAAGTCTAAAGTTATGAAATTGTAAATAATTAACTCTTTATGATGTATAGCTCCCTCTCAAGGTCAAGATATTTAATTAAGCTATAAAAAAATGTTTCTGGACTAAAATCGACCAATTAGCTCTTCCCGTTTGGAGATTATATATCTCAACTAAATATTCTGAGATTTTCATGGTCGCAGCTACCATTGTACGGCCGTAGGCGCTATTTGAAATTTATCAAAATTTACCGGGAGCACTGGTAAATTTTTATATTCAATTTTTCTCGAAAGCAGAAGGGTTTTAGGAGCTAAAATTTCTTGTGCTTATAATACATCCACAGGGGCATCCAAATATATCAAAATTGTAAAAAATCACTATTCACCCAATTTTCAAAATTTCCCAAAATTTTGTATTACCTTTAACTAACATACAGATTCTCACAGAGAAAATCATTTTTGGGGTGATACATGCAGGTATACACTCTGATCATCTCCTGTCCTCAAGATCAATTACTTACGTGACTCCTTTCAAGATGAGCTTTTCCTGAGCTTTCTTGCATCTCTGCCCAACATTTACCATGTATTGAAGATTGTGACAGGAGATTGTAGATGCCTGGGACAGTGAAATATTCTGAATAAAATGAAGAAGTAAAAGAAAAAAGAAAATATAATGCTCATGTGGCACTATAATATGATAATAACAACTTTATTTTTTTTAAAGTGGAGAGCAATATAGCTCTAGAAAGCTCCTAAAGAGCTTGGTTTGAAAAACAATGAACTACAGAAAAAGCACAATCTTAAAACTCTTTGTGTTATTTTTAGTTATTTTCTGACAATTTGTATCCATACATACATTTGCAAATATCTTCTGAACAAAGAAAACAAATCGACCTATTCCCATGACACTCTTTCTAATGAGATTTCCCAAAAAACAAGTGCATTTTTAAATCACTGGATGGATACATCTATATTAGCTCCATTTACAATGCAAGCAAAAATCATTGATTTGTTTTCACATTTCAGTGTTTCGTCTAAACTTAAAGGCCTACTGCACTACTTGTAGCTACTTGCGCCCTCTATATAACAAACAATGCCTAATCAGTGACCATTGGTCCCCCATGATCCTCTTTTTCTTATGTTAACAGAGAGCTGAGTTGATGAGATAACCACCTGTCCAGTGACCTTGCAGGGCGGTCTAATCCCTCCTGTAAGCTACGGCAGATAAGCTTTAAGTCATTTTGTAATAGTTGGAACAAATGGAAAAGGGAAAGTAACATTACGGAGACATTACAGATTCAGCCAATTTGAAGACCCCAAACGTATTGTGATTACAACTTTCAAAAATGTATATCTTTCCCATTTTTTATCTTATTTCATTCATTTTCATTTTCTCTTATCTTTCTATTTTCAAGGGATCCAATAAGCATTAAGAGCTGATAATTTATTGTCCCAGTGTGTCCTTTCAGAAATATCAGTGTTTAGAACCACCATTTTTAACTCAACTTAGTATCTTAAGTTTTTTCTTCTTTTTCTTTCTATATCAAATCTCCTATGCCTTAAACTCATCTTTCCCCCTTGCTCTTTTCCACGTTCGTCTTCTCCCACCCATTCCTCCATCAATTTTTATACCTCCACTGGGTTTCTTACCTCGCTTTCCCCTCTTATTGCTTAATTCTGTTATCATACCTTTCTTCCTTTCATCTACAGAATAAACCCCTTTTCCCCTTCTTTCTTCACTCTATTCCACTGGGCTATCCATTTTCTTTTCATTGCAGGAATTATAATGAATAGATTTTCAATGCCTTTCCACAGAACAAAACCAACAAAAGCGGTGACTGCAATCAGGCCAAAATATAAACAAGTTAAAATAACAGTTGCATTCATAAGCGTCCAAGAAAGTTTTAAAACATATCCCATTATCCTGTGAGTATTTACAAACCAATTTTCAAAACTGGACTTGCAGCTACAAATGTTTGAATTAGCTGTGATTTATTTAGATATACTTATACCATAACCATGGAGTATGGTCCAAGCTTATAAATACATTGAAAAAAGGGGGGGGGGGGTATAAATGCACACATGTTTACAGGGCATGAAAACTGCCTAATCATGGCTTCTTTGTGACTATAATGGCTTTCCTCTTTTCATCATCGTAAAGAATGTCAGTTATGACCTTGGGGGTACTAGACGGTTTCGTTCTGAAGTTCGTTGAGTGGAAATGTTCAGTGAACTGCATGATTCGTCAATTTTTGATGTTTTGTAACTTACATTGTAGGCATACAGTAACTAAAATACAGTTTGTCTTTTAGTCAATTTATTGTAAAAATCAAACCATACAATGTAGATTTTCAATGATTTTCTGAAATGAAATGAAATCCTTCAATCACAAAGAAAAGCTGAAACACAACAGATTGATCCACATGTAGTGATATGTACATGTACATGCAGAATATTTGTTTTCACTTTATTTGTATGTTGCACATCTAACCTCTTTTCTCCCTCTCCCTCTCCCTCCCCTCCCCCCCCCCCCCCCCCCCCCCCCCCCCCCCCCCCTCTCTCTCTCTCTCTCTCTCTCTCTCTCCGCCCCCTCCAGTTATTCCTCCGAGTCTGAGACTATATGTACTTCTTGCTCCATGGACTGCCGACGAAGTTGACAAATATCAGTTTTATTAAAGAATTCCCCATAGACAGTCCATACCATAATACATTCCATTCCATGAGACGGAATAGTATGTAGACCTAGGCCCTAGATCAATTATCTATCGAGGGATGTATGGAATAGACTCAGATATTGATTGCTTGACGTCTGCTGAGACTAGATCCCTAGACTAGTAAGATTATTTATACAGAGAAAGTACTTGTAGCCACATTCACACTTACTGTAGGGGTCTACATTCATTTTCACACTTTCCTGTAATATTAATGTAGATTTTTCTAGGCCTACATTTATCTAGCCTAGCTTCATACAAAACCCTGAGACTTTCTAGAATCCCTTCAACGAGACAAATTTACATTCAACAAAATGACCATACAACAACCACAATTACCAAGATTGCAAGTCCGTCATTGAATCATAAGTAAACACATCCGCAGTAACCCACAGCATTACCAGCGAAACACACACGGCGCCCCATATCCGCCGTGCGCATTGTCTCACAAAACACACACAACAAGAGTGAAAGGGGTTTTATTTAGCTCGGCTCCGCATCAGCATAAACAGATATAAAGCCGTCGTAGTGCAGGTTCTCGTCTTTGTCTTAAAAATAATGGTTTGCAGGAAATTGCAGCATACTTACCGAGTCTTGTGCCATGATTGAAGACAACGATGTCAACTGCTAAGACTAAGACTAGAGTACAGAAACACTTCTCTATCTTCTGTAGATCTATCACATATCATATCAATCACAAACGTAAAAGAGCATAATTCGATCGTCTGGCCGGTTGTGTAACTAGCGCGCTCGCTAGCGAATACGTACCGTACCATGGCCAGTTACCGCCCCCCTGTTGGCTTATTAGACACAACGGCCGTCTTCCATCGCCCGAGTTTCTACGGTGCGCAATGAAGGCGTGCGACTAACTTGCCTATAGCAGCATACACGTTGTAAGGAACATGTGCACGAAATATGGTACACTGTCGATCGCCCATTTAACGGAGATACGCGAATGACGTCACTGTGCAGCAGTCAGCTATGCGCTTATTTAGGTGTGAATCAACCTTTTTAAAAAACATCAAGTTCCTATTCAAAACGATCAGAAAAAAAATATGGTGGAAATTTTACTTTTTTTTAAAGAGATATGGAAGTTTAAATTCCTGATGTTTTACCTGAGCAAATTTCTTGCGAAAATTATTATTTATAAAAAAGTTATCGAGGCTTGAACTCGGCCATGTCGCCCTGTGATGCCCCTGCCCTATTTCCGCCCACTCAAACACACGCGCTAGGGGGGTAGTGAGCACATTTTTTTTTTTTTTGATCCTCAAAAAAATTTCAATTTGCACCCCCCCCCCCCTTGAGCGCCAGGGGGGGGGGGGGCCAACCCCCCAAAAAGGTAAAAATCACGTGATTTTACATGATTTTTTTCTTAAGGGGGGGGGGGCCCGGGCCCCCGGGTCCCCCCCCCCCCCCTGGATCCGCCACTGGCCCTTTGAAGGTTCTAGGTCAATTACCCCTTGGGCAATCACCCCCGGCCAATTAGCGGTACAATAATTACCCCAAGGACGATTACCCCCCCCCCGAGGACAACCACCCCGAGGAAGTTACTCCCCCCCGAAAAATTACCCTCTAGGACAATTATTACCCCCCCCCCCGTGGACAATTAAACCCCCAGAGGACAATTACCACCCCCTGAAAATGATCTCCCCCTAAAAATTACCCAACTAATTATCGAGGTTGACTTCCCCCTGTTCATACTGAACAGGGGGTAGTCCTCGGGGCGGTTGTCCTTGGTTGTCCCAGGGGGGCATTGTCCTATATAGGGGTTAAGTTTCAGGGGGTGGGGGGGGGGGGACTCTTTTCCGGGGGTAGCTCGTCGAGGCACGGTAATTTTCCTTAGGGGTAATTATCTTTGGGGGTAGTTTTCCGGGGGGTAATGGTAGGCGAATAAGGTGGGAGGCTGAGATTGAACCCCCCCCCCCCCCCCGAAGAATGTTGCAATGATGTTTGGCCGTTCGTTCGATCGAGCAACCGACAATTTCTGGTAACGATGTGGTATGTGATAATCATGCAGTTAAATTTTGTGACAAAATTATATATGATTGATTAATGTTGCAAAAAATGCTTGAAGTTCGGTTCTCCAAAAGTGATCCCGATGACAACTAAGTCCGGCTTTTAAAAAAGTTGCCAGGTTTGGTAGATTTGCAAAAAGTTTGTATTTATGTTCTATGTCGCTGAAGCTTGTGTCGACTTTCAATCCAGCGTCGTGGCTTTGTAGCGAAAAGAGTGCTTGTTTCTGATACGATACAGGATGCAGGCAGAGGATTGATGTATTAGTTTTTGTTTTAATTAATTTAGTTTAATTTATTCCCTCAATTTTCTTCGATTACACCCCTCCTTTCCCCGATTTTTCTTTTAGTCTCCCTCTTCACCTTTACATCCTTCTTTCTTAGTGCTTCTATACATTAGGCTATAATATCTTTTTTCAAATGTTTGTGTGTTATATATTTTTGCCAACACGGACCATGACATTTTCGCTGCTATCAAATTTCCGTCAGCAGACTGTGAATAAAATAAATGTTGTTTTATGTGAAATAAACCTATATGAATGGCTATCGAAAGAGTAGTATAAAACGATAAATAATACATTTCACAAGGGCCTATACGCCTGTCAGCCTTTCAAATGGCTAGGGTAATTCTTATATACGTTGTTAGTTTGCTAAAGTTTTATGGCGAATAAAAGGTGAACATTTTTTATCTCTATCCATCACATTAATATCTCTCGGCAATAAAATGAATGAATATTGAATAAATAAATAAATAGATGAATTATGTAGAAGATGTGGGGGAGGGGGTATAGTGCCAAATTTAGAGAAGGGCAATACATTGCAGGACATGATTTGAGTTGTTCTCGGTAATGTCAACAAAATACTTATAGTTACAATAGCTTTCAACCCTCTTTGGTTGTTGAAGTGGCAAAAACGTGACTTTTTTTTTATCTCTATCCATCACATTAATATCTCTCGGCAATAAAATGAATGAATATTGAATGAATAAATAAATAGATGAATTATGTAGAAGATGTGGGGGAGGGGGTATAGTGCCAAATTTAGAGAAGGGCAATACATTGCAGGACATGATTTGAGTTGTTCTCGGTAATGTCAACAAAATACTTATACAATAGCTTTCAACCCTCTTTGGTTGTTGAAGTGGCAAAAACGTGACTTTTTTTTTTATCTCTATCCATCACATTAATATCTCTCGGCAATAAAATGAATGAATATTGAATGAATAAATAAATAGATGAATTATGTAGAAGATGTGGGGGAGGGGGTATAGTGCCAAATTTAGAGAAGGGCAATACATTGCAGGACATGATTTGAGTTGTTCTCGGTAATGTCAACAAAATACTTATACAATAGCTTTCAACCCTCTTTGGTTGTTGAAGTGGCAAAAACGTGACTGGTGACCCCCCCCCCCCCCCCCCTACCACCACTCCTTTTGCATTAATTATTATACTACATTATTTTGCACAAAAAAAAACACTGACTTTCTATGGAAGTGAATCGACAACTTCGTTTTTAAGATCATTTCGGAAAGTTTTATCTTTCAAGTTGGCCATAATTATTATTGAATGCATTATCAAAATATAATACTGCATAATTTAGAACAAGTGGAAAACAAAAAACACAACAACTTGAAGTCTTAAACAAATAATCAAAAAGGAAACCACATTTGCGTTATAGACCTATATACCCTAAAATTGTAATGATGATGATTTAGACGATGTCGGCGATGATGATAATTCTAATGACAATATTGCTAGATGCTTTTTCCAACCAATTATTATGCCTAAAAATATACGCTAATTTATTTTTGAATCAAGATTTGAGAGATGTCGAGAATAGTTTGCATTTAAAAATAAATAAAAATGAAGCACCATTACTTTCTTTTACAATATGTTCACTTTGATAGTGGTTATAGTTTTTTTTTAAATTAAATTCTTTCACCCTAGTGGTTAATTTAAAAATGATTAGCGATATGTTAAGTGACTTTAGTCAGATTTGTCTGATTACCATTATTAAAACATTAAAGACAAGTCACAGGATTTTCCCGGAAAGGCAGTTACAGAATTTTCCCAGATCAGAAAGTGGTGAATAACAGTGAACAGGCATTATTAGTAGGCCTACAGAGGCAAAAGAAGAAATAAAGAAAGAAATATCAATTATCAAAATATCATGTAGATCAAATTCTACTGGGAAGCAATTTTATTTGGCCTAACGTTTACCCGAGATGTCTCCCTTTTCTATACTTTTGATGCGCGTCCACCATCGGGCGGAATTAGGGCAGGTCTAGGCGGAAATAGGCAAGGAAAATGCCTCACGCAGACGGCGCACTACGGACAATCGCTTACGATTTCAGGCATAAGAATGGCATGGTTGGATTCGCTAGAATTTCGGCTACAAATTGATATACATTAGCGCCTGTATAATTCATTTTCAGAAAAGTTATCTAAGAAAAACAGCCTATCGGGCGGATACCGGGCAGGGTACGGTACTGTAGCTGCCGCTGCTCCTATAGTATTAAATACAACCCACTGATCTCTACGGAAAAATCATGTTGTTGTTGTTGTTGTTTTAGTTTTAAGGGCGTGTGTCATTCAATTATGAATATTTACGAATGTTCTGATTCTTGTCCTAAAATCATATCTAATCGATGGTTTTTAAAACGGTATCATTTGAATTTCCATTTCCCAGCATTATTTTGAACTGTCCCGAAATTGTTTTCCTTTCTTGAAATCAGACTACAGCCCCAGCCTATTCTTTTCTTATGCATGGGGATATTGAAAGGCCTTGTCCTCTCAGACAAGGATAAATAGCTTATTCAGCAGGCTACCTTTAGGGACAATACTTTAAAATAATGCTGTCATTGTTGCAATGTCAGGAATGCTATTATTACCTCTTTGGTAATCCACGTATTTGCCAAAAGTATTCGCTCAATGAAGGGAGGGTCGGATTTTTTTTCTTCAATTCATTAATTGATGCCATGTCTGAAAGAGCTGAGTAGTTTGTTACGTAACTATTCAAAAATTGCAGGTGCAAGCTATTGAAAAGCCAAGCTTCCTTTATTCATTGGTGCCCTTTTATAGAATTCGTAGCGTATACTAAATTGAATAGACCCGTGTTCTATTCATTATGCAATGTCAGGGCAGTAACCTATTGTCATATCACTTTAAGTTAAAGCCAGTAGTTTGCAGAATAAATGAAAATAACATAAAACCTCCCTAATATATCAGTAACTGAAAGAAAAAAATTAGGGGCAATCTTGACAACATCGGACTACAAAAATAATAATAAATATGCCTCCCGAAAGCGTGAAATCAGTAAATCGGCATATTTTGTAAAGTCATTAACAGCTAGCTGGCAATCGACAGCTAGCTGGCAATCGACAGCTAGCTGGCAATCCCAAAGCCATGTCCATTTAAAAACTGCATTCAAGAGCCTCTTATTGCTAGGTTTACAACGTTGTTTTACATTTGCAATTATAATTTCCTAGTTTTATTCACTCTCTACAGTCCCGTACTATCCCTTTTTCAGTCTGTAAACAACTTTGCAACACGAAAACAATGATGAACAGGGTTTTACTTCTCGTATAAATTTATTAGAAGTGCCCTATGTCATTTTGCACGAAGTGATACAAAGGGCCTTTCAAATTTGAAAGTCTATTGAAAGCATTCCCCCACCTAGCCTGTATGACCGAGCAGAATCATTTAGTGCTCAACAATAAAAATCCACAGTCTTGGCTAAAGAGGTCCATTA